AACACATCTGGAGGATACCCTTGATGTTGCAAACCTAATCTTAAGCCCATAATTAGCAAATTTAATCCTTGTCTATCTTTAATGATAAACTCAGCATGATCCAATTTCACGATCACCTCATTCCACAATAATGTTGATTGCTGCAATACACACAAATATATAATGAATATTAAATATAGAGCCAAAAGACGTACACGTATTGTCCGTATATATTATGGAACATAAATATCAAAGTTGCTTATGTTACATACTATTTCCTTTAAAGCTTGAACAAAAACTTCAACGTTCCAAGTTGTGGGAGCAATACTTTCTGAAGTTTTTTCTTTATTAGCATCTTGAGTAGAAGCAGAGTTCCCCCAAAATGATTGTAAGCCTCCAGCATCATCAAGACTATTACAACTGCGTGCCATATGAGCTAAAACTCGAGCAACGCATGCTGGAGATATTTCTCTAGCTCCTAAACCAGCTAATGCCGATCTACATTCTTCTACGCTACTAGTAAATCCGTATCCTAATTCCATGATCAACTCCACTAATGAATTGCCATCCTAAAATAGCCATTTGGAAGTAATAATATGTTCTTAATAAAAATAAAAATAAAAATAAAAATAAAAATAAAAGTTGTACCAACCATTTGATTGACAGCCATGTTTAATTCAATTTTGGCTTGCGGAGTTTCCCCGTCGCCTGGATACAAGAGTGGTGCTAGCACCACTGGTACCAGTTCACGGGGAAAATCGCGCCTTAAATTCTTGAGAAATTTTTCCTTTGCTTCGGAAGAAACACCAAATTGATTAGGAATATGAAAAACCTGTGAAAGTATAAGGTGCAAAACTTCTGGCGACGAATCGTGTAAGCCTTCCTCGTGGTGCTTATTGCTTGTCTCCGAATTAATATAATTTTTTATTAATTCAGGTAGTTGTTTTTTAATGTGCTCGTGAGCCAATGCACGAATATCGATATTTTCAGAATGTTGTAGTACAATCGCAAAAGCAACTTCCTGTACTAATGTCAGCCCAAGTACCTTCTTGAGATGTAAAAAAAACTTTGGCGATGAATTCAAAGTCTAAAAACAATGATTTAAATGAGCTATGGAGATAAACTATATCATTCTAAATAAGGTTAGATTCCTTCTTTATTATATTACTTCTTTTATATTTATCTATATGTCAGGATAAAGGTAATACTTGGTAAAATATTGTATTAGAAAATGGTAATAACAGAACATGCAATAATAAACCTTCTGATGATGTAAAGGATGATCTATTGCAAAACAGAAGTTAGAAATCAGAGAAGGCTTGCTGAGCAGATTGGTACACTCTTGCTTTAGAAGCTGTACTTGAAAATAATCCTTAGCACTTGATTCTGGTGGCTCTCCGGTTGAGAAATCGACGTAAGAGAGCAAAGAGCGCAGCAAATGTCGGTCTGCCTCCAGACCTTTCCACTGTACCAACTGAAATAGAAAACAATGACTGATTTTATAATTAACAATAATTTCTTATAAATATTTGCTTTATATAAGATCAATAGAGAAATTAGTGTATAAAAGATATATTTTATATAAATATAATATAAATATAAGTCAGCTTACAGTATGCTTTATAATCTATATTATATTTAAAGTAGTATGAAAATATTTTAAGATCAACTTATGGACGTCCGTACGTTGCATACTAATGGCGTAACTCCAAACGGAAAAGTTAAGTTCACAAAAGGTAAGACAAAAAGTTCGATAAATTGAATACTAATTCGAAAGAATACGTTAGAACGTAATAATTTGAAGTTAGAAGCCAAGTTCAAGATACATTAGTGCATGATGGTTATAAGCGACAACATGGACTATGTAAATGGAAAATAATTGAGTGCATTCTAACGATAATTACTAATTATAAGGTATTTTTAACAATAAAATAAAGAAAAATAATCAAATATAATGCTTGGGAAACATATTGCGCTATCCTCGCGGACGGCGTGCCGCGTAGGAGAAGGGGTAAAGGAGATGTGCAATAGAACAACAGGTCCTTAGACCTTTTTCTTTTTTCTTTTTCTTTTCTTTTTTCTTTTTTTTTTTTTTTTTTTTTTTTGTTAACTTACAATTGATATTTCTTTGCAGCTGTCCCGAAAATTTTTCTTAGTCAAATTAGCAACCAAGTAACTGATTTGTGACAAAGTAAAAGACAACGAGTCCAGGTTCATAGTTCCATGAATACGACCTCGAAAGCTTCAAACACGTTTGAAGCTTTCTTCGGTATCCACGAATTGCCTCCCCGGATTCTTTCCTCGTTAAAAGCATGAAAACTACATTGGCACAGTCCTGCGACCAACATCGGGATTAATATTTTGAAATACTATTTCAGATCAACGTCATGGCGAGCACAACAGGATAATACTGAAAACGTAACACCGGGATATCACACCACACACCAGTCACACTTGGTCACACTCCACTGACCTCTTCAACTACTTCAACTAAATTCCTACTTGAATCAGCTAATAGTAGTAATTTCTATGATCTACCGATAGAGTACACTGTAGCGGACCAATAAGAGCGTTTCAACGGATGTCGATTACTTCAACGAAATATATTAATATGTTATTTGTTTATAAAACTGTCTCATCTCACTTTTTATTTATTATCAGTATTAATTTTTTAATAGAGAAAAATAAATTAAATATTATCCTTAACAATTTTATACTTTTTGTCCAATAATAATAATTATATAATTCTTATCAATTTTTTTGTTTTCGATAACAGTATTAGTCAAATTTCTTCCTTAAATCGATCAAGCTAATGATGAAAGAAAAATTTAATTTCGAAATATCTTACCGATATTACGTCAGATCGATTAGGTTAAATATATATGAAATCATAAAAATCATATCAAGTCTCACTTCCCTAACTTATAACTTTCTGAACACATTTCGAGCCTAGACAGAATCTGTGAGGATAGAATTAGAGTTGATAATCGTAACTTTATGAACGGTAAAAAGAAGTTGCTGGAAGACATAGATCTTCTACCTGAGAATTGCGTGCAATTTAAAGAGCATATTTTATATCGAATAAAATTATAAATAAATTTTTCGGTATGTCTGACTGGGATACTGCGCCTATTACTTTGCGAAAACGTGCACCTAAAGCTTCTACGTTAAAATCCGAACAGGTACTGTATAAACCAGTATTTAGACGTATTAAGAATATACTATGGCATTTCAATACTGTTTATTTAAGAAAAACTATGAAATCAATGTTTTTAAATTATATCTAGATATAAATGTAGCAACATACTATATAACAAATGAATATTATATATAACAAATGAAATAGTTTTTAGGAAAACAAGAAGGACAAATAAACAAAATTAGTTACTAAGGAAAGAAAAAATCGGAGAACTCTATGATCTCGCTAACCGTATCGAGCTAACATTTGTATCGAGCCTAATAATTGCGGGAAATTCATTTTTTTTCCTCATCAGGACCAATTATATAAAAGTAGTTGTGTAACAATATTTTTATTTACAGGCAGTAAATGCAGCGCGACGTCAGGGTTTTGCTATTGAAACACAGGCAAAATGTAAGTTTCATTAAATATAATGTTCATAGGAAAAAAGAAAAGATATCTTCAAGTATTAAAAAAGATGTACGAGTAAATACTGAAATATTCATTAACATTATTATTCTGATTAATTTGAATATATGAAATTTACTAATATTACAGAAATTAAAATTTACTAAAACCAATATTATAAATTAATATTTATATACGTTTTATTCGTAAAAGAAAATCTTTAGGAACATGTATTGATTGTAACATGTCCTTTGATTTATTTTATGTCAGGGGGTGGTGGTGCAAATAAACAACATGTTACCACAAAGAATACGGCTAAATTAGATCGTGAAACTGAGGAACTAAAACACGATAAAATTCCTCTTGATTTGGGAAAGCTTATACAGCAAGGTCGACAAAGTAAAGGATTATCGCAGAAAGATCTTGCTACGGTAATATAGTGTAGCTCAGATATATTAATTTATATCTGCAAAATGTATTGTAAAACTTTTATTAAAGATTGATCTGTGTGCATCATAAAAAAAAAAAATGCAAAGCAATTATAAACACAAGAAATTTTAAGTAGTATAAAATGATGAAAAACTATTGAAGTAAGTCATCATTTTAAGGTGCGTTGATTTAATTAGCTAATTGTTAGATAACAATAAATTAGCTAATTACTTCTGAATGGTAATATTTGGTGTCTTGTGATTATAACTTGAAAAGTAATTGTTATATTACGTTTATAGTTATTCTTAGTGTTATTAATCAAATATGTTTTCTTTTTTTACAGAAAGTGAATGAAAAGGCACAAGTAATAAATGATTACGAAGCAGGCCGTGGAATCCCCAACCAAATGGTTATTGGTAAAATTGAGCGAGTACTTGGCATAAAATTGAGGGGAAAGGATCGTGGGAAACCATTAATAGCCCCCGGGACGAAGAAGTGAATCTCGGGGGAGTTGGAATCTTTACTTTCTATCCTTATATATTGCTCCAGCAAAAACTATAAGAAAGATGGTAGAAACAAAGTAATTGAATTACCTACCTTTCTTTCCTTTGGTTATTTTGATATTACGTGCTACAGTTTCTTTTTCTGTAAAATAAAACAAGTGATACTTATGAATACATATTAGAATATCATAATTATAAATTCAATAAAGTTTATTCAATTACCTTTATATGAACGTTTATTGAATCTATTCTGATTATAAATTACTAATGCATACTGTGAGTTAAATTATAAATCAATGATAAAATAAAATTATTAATTTATGATAGAATACCAAACAGTGATCATTCTACGAGCATAAAACCATAATATATAGATAGAAATAGTTGATCATTAACTATTTTGCGTGTGTATATATTTTAGTATAAAAAACATTGATATTTTATTTTTATATAATATTTGGATATAAATATCTGTAATTATGATTATATGTGAAACTCAAAGATATGTATGAAAGCAAAGACTTTATTCATATATCACCATAATAATTTCATATATTATATTCAATATTTTAATCCTTTCTCAATGGGAAACTGCTACTTTTTATACCGTCTTTGGTAATAATTTTTATGCTTATCCCATCGCCAGTATAAATATCTCTTTCCGCAGCAGATATGAAAACATCTTTCAGCACTAATAAAGCCTTTTCTTGTGTAAGTAATTCAGGTTCAATACCTTCTTGATTTTTATATCCAATCTAAAAATTACATAAAAGAATTGAAATTGTTTTTATCAGTTTACTTCCTTCTGATTTTATTCATAAATATTGATAGTATACCTGATTATCAAGAAGAGGCTGTAAAAGTGCACCAGCAGATCCACCGGCTCTATATGTAGATCTTTCACAGTGTCCTATCGGATCATAACTATAGACACATCCTTTTCCATTCTCATCTAATCCAGCAAGTACGTTACTGACATAATAGGGAAAAAATCTTTTATAATACAACATAGCTGAGAGCATTTGTGCTACAGCTGGTGTTGACATCTTTTTTTGATGTTCATGCTCATACATCTATTAAAGTTAATATAGTAGTAAATAGTTTTGTTACAAATTAATACAAATATTTACATTTTCTAATTTTAAAGCTAACTTACCTGCATGCGAGCAGATAATAATCGAGTCAAACTTAATGTATCACACCAACAACCAGAACAACCTAAAACAGTAGTATTTGACAGAGGAAACAATTTTTCTTGTTCTCGAGTACAAATAGAATACCCTGTACTAAGTCGATTATCTGCAGCAATTATGCAAAAATCATCACCAGCAAGGGCAATCACACTCCTAAAAGATTTTAACAAACAAATTAATGTTTAACAATTGATTAATATAAATAATTGGACTCAAAAAATATACGACAAATATATTAATGAACTTTATTATATTTATTGATGCATATATATATATATAAATCCAAATGAATGAATTGAATAAATTAAAACTGAATGAATGAATTAAATAAATTGAATCTATAGTTTGATTTTGAAAATCATTGATTTTAAACAATATTAGGTTATCTTATATTTTACCCTCCATTATCAGCATAAGGACTGAAATGGACTTGCTTAATTCCTTCTCTTTCGTAATCAGGTAAACCTCGTGATATTTTATTCTGAGAATAAAGAGCCATATTTTGTAAGAAACAAAAGTTGAACTTTCAAAAGAAATTAGGACCAACTACACCGACTGCGAATGACACTACACTTTCTATCGAACTTGGTAAATTCGTATGCTTGCAGCGCTAATCATTCTGTTGAAACAAGATGATTTTCAATTGGTCGCGTTATTTTCGTATCAACCAATCATATACATGAATTGAACGTAAATACGTTGTCTTACACATCAATGAAAAGTGCCATAAATAATGTAATAAAAAAAAACTTTCAGTAGGGTTTATAAACATTTTAGCCTTACAATAGATAATTTATTATTATAATAGATAATATATTATAGTAAAAGCGAGTAAATAATTTTATAATATTTACTCAAATTATATAATTTACTCAAATATTAAAAAATTTGATATGTGTTGATAAAATGTAGGAGGTATAGTTTTCCTTAATTCTTCCTTATTTAACCATTGATATTTTAAATCGTTTGTAATAGATCCATTTATGTATCGAGCTAAAAAGTAAAATACCTTTGCTCCACACTTGTCGCTTTTTTTATTATCCTCCTCTAAATATTTATACTTGTGGAAACCAACTGGTGCATTTCCATAAAATTTAACAGTCATTTCTGTACCACAAAATTCTTGCAATACTCTTTCTGCTGCCTTTAACATTATAAAAAATTTTTTTCATATACTGCATTTTTATCAAATATATATGAATAATACTGACTTTTAGATACTGACTTGTCTCATCGTTTCTCCATCTTTTCTAAGACCTTGGGGAGGAATCCAGGAAGCAATATTGTTGACATTTTGTTCTACAAGGAAAACTAATGTTCTATCTAAATTATACATATGACTAGTTTTATCTTTAGATTTATCAAATTCTGAAATAAAAAATATATCTTATTTGAAGATACTCTTATTAATAGTTTTTGTAATAAATTATTAAAGTACATTATCAATAATAATACATATTTTCAAATGAATATAGATAACATTGAGACAATATTCAATTTAATTATCTTATTTATATACCTGTAATTCTAGATGCAAATTGAAAGTTTTTTAATTCTTCTTGGCAATTATCTTCAAACTCTTGCGCTGTTTGCAATGAAACAATGTCAGTATCTGCAATATTTGATTCTAACGGTTGATTTTGCTCAAGTTTCTCCTTTTCAAATTTAAGCTCATGATCTGACTTCATACTATTTTCATATTCTATTCTTTTTAATAATTTATAATAATTTGTTTCCATTTCATTCATGGGTTTTGTAATAATAGGATGACGTTCAAGACATACAGCACTTAACAGATCCCACTTTGATTTGGAGGAAGTATTTATTAATCTTTTGCAATGCCATTGAGAAGCAGAAAATGTATTTTTTACTTCTTTCAAAGTGCCTGTAAAAATTGATTCCATGAACAATATATTATACTAGAATACTATTATTATAACTACTAATACTATAAAATGAAATACTATTATTATAAAATTTTATTTACTTAATGAAACATCAAATTTCAATGAAGCTTTGAATGCCTGTTTGAACATTTTTTATTTTTTTAAATATAACCTAAAAGATTATAATTTTTAATTTCATTAAACGTGTCAATATGAAGTATACGTATTATATTTTTTATAAGTTAGATTTTTAATTTAATTTATTGTAATTTTGTATATACTTTCATACAAATTAAGCTACGACACGTTTGATTCAAAATCAAATAAGTAGTAGGATAAAGAGTCAAAGATACGGCCATTAAGTTGACTTCGTAAAAACGATACTAGAGACATTAGAAAGTTTGGTTAAATTACACTTTTGTTAAATTGTAAGAGGTCTAAATTTACTTCTAAATATAAACCAAATATGCAAAATATATATATATATAAAACATCTTTGTTGTTACAATTATTTTCTTTTTTATCATTGTTCGATTAAACTAAATTTCTTTTACAAAAACGAAAGAGCGGAACATATAAATTAATCATAAAGATAATATTTTCATTGTTTGATATATTGTATTAATTATATACATAACATGCAAAGATTAAATTTTTTTTCTATATTACATTTTGATTTCAGATTTGGTTCCACGTTTGATTATGGATATTGTACTATTATAACCAAAAAATAAAAAGTGAAGGATATAAAGTTTTTGTTTAGTTTACTGTAAATATAAAAAAGAAGCGAAATCAATTTTTTTGTAATAAAATATTCCGAATTACAATATGAGAATCGCAGTTGAAGGATGTGCTCATGGTGAATTGGAAATTATATATGACACTATACAAGAGATTGAAAGAGTCAATGGAAAAAAAATAGATTTACTTGTATGCTGTGGTGATTTTCAATCAACGAGGAATTTATGTGACTTAAAATGTATGGCAGTACCTGATAAATATAAAGACATGTGTACTTTTTACAAGTAAGTATGAATGATAAGGAATCATAATCTTTTAATAATATAAAGTATTATTGTTAAAATTATTTTGAATACTAATTTAGTATAAATATCTCATAGATATTACTCAGGAGAAAAGGTCGCTCCATTATTAACTATTTTTATTGGTGGTAATCATGAAGCTTCAAACTATCTTCAAGAATTACCATATGGTGGATGGGTTGCTCCTAATATTTATTATCTTGGCTATGCCAACGTTATACAAATAGGTGGGATTAGGATCGCTGGAATTTCTGGTATTTATAAGAGTCAAGATTGGATGCAAGGACATCACGAAAAACCACCATATACAAAAAGCACAATTCGCAGCGTTTATCACATTAGAAACATAGAAGTATTTCGATTAAAACAGGTAATTATAAACATAAATGTATTCATGTTTACATTTATTAACAATTGTAAACTATATGCAACATATTATTTATAAGAAATTTCAAATTTTTACTAATAGATATCTGGTAAAATTGATATTTTTTTATCTCATGATTGGCCAAATGGAGTGACAAAATATGGAAATGAGGATAAGCTTTTAAAGGGCAAACCATATTTTAAGTATTTATCTTTTGTCATTGTACTTCAATTTAGGTTAAAAAATCTAAAAACAACATGCAGTATATAAAGTATTATATTGTAGGGCTGATATTGAAAACAACACACTTGGTAGTCCAGCAAACATGGAACTTTTGAAATACCATTATCCATCATATTGGTTTTCTGCACATTTACATTGTAAATTTGCAGCACTTATTCCTGAAAAAGATGGTACAAGAGTAACCAAATTTTTAGCATTGGATAAGTGTTTGCCAAAAAGGAAATTTCTTCAAGTTGTAGAAATAAACGATAATCTAAATTTACCATTAATTCTCAGCTATGATTTAGAGTGGTTAACAATTCTTTATTTAACAAATCATCTGCTTAGTGTTAAAAATGGCATTCATTATATGCCTGGGCAAAATGGCAATGGTAGATGGACGTACACACCAACTACCGAAGAAAAGGAAAATATATTAAAGAAATTTAATTATGATTTAAAAGTACCAATAAATTTTGTACAAACTGTTAAACCTTATGACCCAGAGTTAATGGATGACCAAAATGAAATACCAAAATTAATAATAAATAATCAAACTACAAAATTTTGTAATACCTTGGGGATAGATGATCCATCAGTATTATTGCAAATTATATTAAATTCAAAGGAAAAAAAGGCGAATGAAACAATACTAGAATCAACATTAGAAAGTACATTGGAATCTAGTGATATCTCTATCACATACGAGGACGACAGTGCATGCGAGAATAGCACAAAGAATTCTATAGATATGGTTGATGAAAATTTTAGTGATGTACTACCAGTAGAAAGTATAGAATCTGATAGTAAGTATTAAATGATAGTGTACAACTATATAGTTAATAAAAAGAATTTACCTCCTAATTATTATAACTATATACATTATTCCACTTTTATCTTGCAGGTAATAATCACATTACACAGGTAGAACCAAATTGTAAAAAGTTTAAAAGAAGAAACTATTCTATATATTCTAATACTCTTTAAATGCAAGTGAAATTTTCTTTAAAAAGACAAAAGTACATCAGTGTAAAACCTTATAGCCTTCCTATTCCAAATCTCCACACATTACATGTTTCTATAAATTAACTCTTTAAAGTATCGTATATATACATCATGAAAATATATATAAAACAAAGTGATATATCTTGATTAGTGAAGATCAATGATCGATTCATAAATGCACGAATTATATATATAATTTCAATTATATCTGATTTACAAATCATTGAAATTACATTACATTATAACATTTCATTGTATATTACACAATTTTATATATATATATACATATATATATATATATATATATATATATTTTAATATAAATAGGTTAAATAAATGTATAATATAAAAAAAAGAAAAACAAAATGATTATAGTTTATAATAATTTTAAATATATATGATTATTTTTTAAAAGAGCCAAGATGCTGATTTATCAAAATATCATGTTACAATGTCACTTATCAAAATAGGCTGAATTCTCCAGTCGTTTGTTATTCTTCTTATCACTCCAAATGGTCGTTAAACTTCACAAATCGATATTTACTAAAATTATTACTTTAAAATTATTTAAAAATCACTATACAATTGCAAGAGAATACAAAAGCATGACGTTAAAATATACATTTATTTTTATCATTAATTGATTATAAACAAATCATACTTACAAAGACATTAATCTAGAAACACTCATTCATGACACTCATCCTTCAATAGTGTAGGTTTAAAAATGCAAAATAATGTCAGAATTTATTAAAGTGAAATTTTTCGTTCAATAAACTTATACATACCTGTGCACACTCAGATATTATTATTGATTATTTCATTTTTCCGTGCCTATTGACCATTCTCACAAACGAAACATACAATCTCAGTTCTCATAGGAACTGAATGATCAAATGTAACAATAATTCAAAATTCTATTTCACAGAATGTGTGATTTTTTTTATTTACATTAATATTCACGCTCCTCTCCTCCATTTTTCACCATTACTAAACTTAGTCATTTCTCGACCACTTACGCCACATGTACCAATACCTACTCTTCCATTTACATTCTCTGGTGTTGCAAATATGCTTTTCTTTATTACACCCTTCTTTGACGACTAATAATAAATCAAATATTAATTACCCAACTTATTTGTATATTTATAAAAAGAAATATTATTTTTGTTTTATTTCTTACCTTATTCGTAAAAGCTAACCATTTATTTTTTTCCATTTCACGTTCTTCTTCAAGTTCCTTGAATCGTTGTAGCTTTCTTTGTTTTTTTTTCTTAAGATATTCTCTTTGCTTATTTGGATCAGCTCCTGCAATAGCAGCTGCTTGCATTTTTCTGTAAAGTAATAAATTCATCATTGAACGCAATACAACCGTAATATTATTATATACGATAAACTTTTTAATTTAGCAAATTTTTAGTATTATAATGTCTTAATAGATAGTTAATATGCGTACGCAACGAAGCACTATGTGCTCTCTTATTAATTTACTTTTATGAACTAAGTTCATAATATAAACAATAAAAAGTACATATAAGAATCTGAAAATATTTTATTATAAAAAAATAAAAAGTACACATAATAGTAAATATGTAGTTCCACGTTTGCGACTGCTGTTCCTAATACATCTGTAACAATACTTATACTTTATTAGGGATCATAATAAAATAAAGAAAAAATTTGTTGTAGAAATAGTCTATCGTATCCCGTTACCTTTTCCTGGAATCCACAGAAGTACACAGACAGCGGGACACCAAGGGATCAAATGAACAATAATTGGATTTCAGATGGAAGCACACCATACAGTAGAGTTATTATCGTGGCCAATTGGGAATTCAAATACGAAGAAAAAAATGATGGATTAGTAACAGCTTTACGATCTAACAATTATCCCTTCATGTTCCACAAATATCAAATAGTGTTTATTAATATAAATGTAGGAATATGAACTGAAATTTGATAATAAATAGTTTCTTTCTATGTAACTTACTTTGATTTCTGATCTGCCCAATCCGATGCTGGCCTTTTAGCTATTGATTTGAGTTGACTAAGCATTGTAACATCAGTATTTTTGTACTCATTGAAAGTTATGTTCACGACTCCGTCTTCACTTATTGCATCTATCGTTGCCTCGTAATACCTACAAGTAAAATAAAGAAATTCAATGAAATAATTTGTAAATAATACATATTACAGTTCATGTAGAATTTGGTCATTCAAAACTCACTTGCCATCCTCGCTCCATGGGGCCATGCATTGATCGCCCACTTTCCATTTATTGGCTAACACTGCAAGCAAAATAGGATCTTTAGCATCCATGCCATTGGCTTGCCTTTTTTCCTGTTGTTGTGATTTAATTAAATCATGTGTCAGCTCTATTACTTCCTCGAGATCGATTTTTAATTTTAAAAGTTCTTCATTGGTTGGGTCTGTCGTAAGAGCTGCTTCTACCTATAATATAAAAAAGATAAAATGTAATTTTCGTTTAGAAAATTCACGAAAACGATGAAAAACACATCAAAGGCAAGATGTTGTTGATAAAATAATGTCAGTACGCTGTTAAAGAAAAATTCGAAAGGTTATTACCTGTTGAAGTTGCAATTTGTAATTCTGTAAATCGTCCATGGTATGGCCGAAATAAATAATAAATTATTGAAGATATAAAATAACAATTTTTCTTGTATTTTTAGAGACAGTACTTATCACGAACTGTTAAAACATAAATTACGGTACACTACAATGGTCGTGAACGACTAACGCAGAGCTCGTAAGGTGGCGTGTTCGTCGTTCAAAATGATGCTCACTCATATCAATAAACATATAAACACAATCGAAACATAAATTCTATTAAATATTATGTCCATTCTTTTTTATTTTTATTTATTCGAAATAGATAATCACTTTGTGTCCCATTTTGTCAGATAATCATAAATAATAAATCTCTTCTTACCGTGAGCGTCATTGACATTTAAAATATGAATAAAAAAATATATTTGTATTTGTAAATATTCAATGAATAAAATAGATATAGGTGATTTTATTTAAAAACGAAAAACAAAAAAAAAGTATACACATTTATTAATCAAGATATAATCGTTTAAGTACTAAATATAGTATGTGTTAATACGTCTCACATTTTTTTTCGTTGAATAAAAACTTCGATCAATTTTTTGATTAAACGCCCTAGTGACCTTCTTATTTTATTTTCTAACATTTTCCCGCGTATTTTCAAGGTTAATTGGTTTACATTATTCACACTTGTGTGAGTAAAATCTATATAATACCATGGTCGATGTATTGTCGTATACAATACAGCAGTTCTTCTATTGAAGATATTGAAAGCTGTAATTAATAAGTGTATAACTATAATAATAGTTCTTTCTTCTTTATCAGGTGATCTGTAATTAAAAGCACAAAAGGAATACAATTTGGAGGCTTCACATCCAGTAAAGTCATTTCATAAGTTCATTTCTGAAATACCATTTCAATATCTAAATTTTCAGTTTATTTATTATTATTTTAGTTTATAGAATATGTATGAATATAATTCAGGAAATCAAATAAGCCCAGAGATACATCAATGGTTTGCCTTAGTTGACAAAGACAGAAGCGGTAGAATTACAGCAACTGAATTACAAGCTGCATTAGCAAATGGAAAAGGTGGAACCTTTTCCGAATCAGTTTGTAAACTGATGATCAGTGAGTAAATATATAGTATATATTTAAAGCATATTAGGATAATTAATACGGTAATTATCATTATTTGTAATTTCTTATTTCTATGTTTTAGATATGTTTGGTCAAAAAAAAGATGGTACTATAGATATAGTAGAATTTCAAGAGGTATATAAATATATAAATCATTGGATTAACTTCTTACGTGATGTCGATCTTGACAATTCTGGAACTATACAGGAAAACGAATTAAATGTAGTATTAACTAAAATGGGTTATACAGTTAGTCCTACATTTGTAACATTTCTTATAAAGAAATGCGATCCTGGGAATTGTCAAAGTATGAGTGTCGATCAATTTATCATGTTTTGTATCCAATTAGACAAATTTACAGGTAAAAGAATTTATATATCACCATATTGATACAAATATAAATTTATATGATGCTATTAATTACTATTTTAGTTATAAAATCATTATTTTATCATTAAGTTATCATTGTCTTACAGGAGCATTCAGAATTAGAGATACGGATAAAAAAGGAGTCATTAGTGTTGGATTTGAAGATTTCTTGACAATAGCTGTCGATTGTAGCTTATACTAAATATATCATTAATTATAATTGATACAAATTGTCGATTGGCTATTATATGCAAAAAGTAATGCTTCACGCTGACTATGTTTATAATTAAATTAAAATTGTTATTAAAGTATTAAAAATTTAGGAAAATTGATAATATTAAAATTAAGCAAATACTATCTATTCAATAAGAAATATTATAATAACGATTTTAAATTTAAACGAATTTTATATTTTAATAATAAGTTTAATAAGTTGTATCCATGTGCAAACAGGAATATATTTGTCACTGGTCAACAATACACATAATATTCCTTTTTAATAATATATGCTTCTTATATTATATTAACCTCTATGTTAAAAAGAAATGTAATACAGACAAATGTAATAAAAAATATCTGCAACACATTAATTCTAAATTCATATTCTATACGATCAGCATCTAGATCCATATTGTTTCCTAACAGTGCCACCTATAGAAAATATTTTTACATTTATATTTTATTTTAGGATATACCATCTTAAGTGCTTTACATTTTGGCTAAATTCATAAGAAGATTTATACAAGTATATTATGATACATTAGTAATTTAGATTTTAATAAGTGTGTAATATTAATGTTTTATTTGAAATTTTATTAAATGTGGTGTTTTGTTGAAAAGATTCCTGATCGTGCGTCAAATTACAATTTTATTGATATTTTAAGCAATGGAATCTTCACACGAAATAACTTTTATACATAAATCGTTATTTAATTTGTGCATATTATATATAATAACTAAAACATGTACCTCTCTATTAATTAATTTTCAAACTAGTACCTCAAATGACAATATAAAATTTTATATGTAATATAGAAATATTCACTTGCATAAAATGGAGATTGATATCACATGACAATTTCACCATTTATATATGATAAATTTATGTAAATAAGTTTTAATATTATATTCAGTAAATAAGTGTAATATAAGATTCTCTGTTTAGGTATTCTGAAGATCCAATTAAATATGAATCAGATCTACAAAAACATATATCCATGTCAATATGGACAAAACAAGCTCGAAAAAGAATACAGGAATATGCTAGACTCTGGAGGGCTAGACATATCTTAGATGCTATTTCTTTTATAAATGAATTATTTGTTGATAGTTCAGAAGTCGAAATATTGAGTCTTGTCAATGTAATCGCAAGAAGATTAAAATTTTTAGGTGTACCAGATTCTTCAGAAAACAAGCAAAATGGTAATTCATTTTTATTTACATCTATTTAAAAAAATAAAAAATAAAAGACTATAAAATAAAGAAAATTACTTTAAACATGATAATTTTTTCTTGTAGACATTTCTGATAATGAGAAAAAATTATTTTTATTAAATCAAGGACACAGTGGTATTTATCATTGTTGCACATTTTGTTCAAGTGGTGGAAAAAAAGATGTTGTTTGTGCCTGTGGAGGAAGAATGCCAGGTAAAAATCCATGTGTATATTTATTTATACATTTTTAAAATTTGCTCTGTTCTAATAATGATGAGATAAATAATTTAATGAAAGGTGGGTATCATGGATGTGGACATGGACATGTGGGTCACCCTGGTTCTAATCATTGGTCTTGTTGTGGATCACTCTTACGCGACGGACGTTGTTTAATAACTCGACGACATAAATACCAGTTTTTACTTTAATACTTACTGTGTATCCTGTCTATGTCTGTCTGAAAATATTAGCTGCAAATACTTATAATAGATAATATCATTGCATAAATTACTATGTATGTTTCATGTAAATATACAAATAAATATTATTTTCATTGTAAATCCATATTTTTACATATATATATATAATTGTTATTCATAACAAATGGTCATTATTAAAAATGTAGTCACTGCATAACTGTACCTCAAATGACTATAATTAATGATGATAGATTATATATCTTATCATCACATTATTTATGTCACATGACAATTTATCATATATTTTTATTATGTATATAAATATCAAACATTTGTTTATGACATAAGGAATATATGATTATTTAACATACCATTGATCAATAAAATGTTCTTGCTCATTATAAATATCATTTGAAAATATATCTTCGTTGTAATGTATAAGCAGAGAATTCAAAAGAATTTTTGCTTTTTCAAGCATTGTTGTTATATATGCAGCAGCTCTCCTTCCAGCCCCAACAGCATTTTCACTAGCATGACCTCTATGTTCAGTACTCCACATACACTCTTTACAACATATCTATAAATATAATATTACATTAATATTTAAAGTATTCAATAATATTTCTAATTTAATATAAATATATTCTCTTTTTATATATATGATAAAATATTATATAAAACCTGTTGACATGCATTGCAATAATATCGCAATGCATTTAACGGATGTATTTGACAAAGTATAGTACGACGTATTCTGGTTGCTTCCCAGAGAGGTTTTACTATATGTTTGCCTTGTTTCGCTTCCACATTTGTTTTTTCTTCATGTTCATTACCACAATCAGAACAAAAGTTGCGCAAACATACACAACATTGTACAATTGCCTTTAATTGTCATAAAGAAAAATTAATTTTACATAATATCTACATATATCATTATCTGTAGGAAGTATGCTTACTATTACTTCATCTGAACAAGTATCGCATAGTATCCTATGAGCCAATTTACGACGCATAACATCCATAACGAGCCTATGTTGTAATGGATAATGTGGAGGTGGAATTATAAAACATGTATTTGACAGACAAAAATGACATAAAGGACATCTTTCATAAATATTACACATTGAATTAATATTATCATTGTTTTGTATCTTACTTGTATCAATATTATTAACTGTAAAATAAATTATAAAGTATAATTCCTATGGATTATGCAAATTATCATTTGCTTTTGTAGATTATATATAATGAGATTATGAAAAATGAATTCATCTTACTTTTTTCAATTAAGTCAAAGACACAAGGAGAACACATGGCATGTAAGCAAGGAAGAAGTCTAGGTTCTTGCATCTTTTTACCACATCTTGAACATAAGAAATCTTTATTTTCATGAATATTTTGAATAATTTTCATTTTATCTTCTTTACATTCATCACTTAAATTCCCGTTATCCGACAATGTATAGGATAGCAAATTTATTCTTTGTTCCATACTCCACCTTAATCCATTTCTTAAAATATAGTCATTGTTAATTTTATAACACGAGGAGTGTTCATATTTTTATTTATTTATAATCATAGTAAATAAGACAGATTATGTACCTATCTATATATCATGGATTAACAATATATAATTTAAATTTATATTATTACCTTGTATTAACGTTTACGTATTTCGGTTCAATTGTAACAATAGATTGATTATTTCTATTTTTTTTCTTCCTGGTAAAAGAAATGACGTTCCCATTATTATTATTATTGTTATTATTATTATTATGTTTATTATTTTCGCTTTCGTTTTCAATTGTTTTTCCATGACCGAAGCAACTCTTTTCAAATTGATTTTTAACTGAACAATTCACGAATTCCATTGATTTAGGTAACTATTTAATCAATAGAATTTATCAACTTTTTATTACATTGCTATTTAATAATTGCTAAATCTGATACGTTACTTTACGGTAGTAGGAATGTCTTACAGACTACTTCCCAACTTCAGCAGAACGTATCTGGTTAAAAATAACATTTAAGTAGACCGCGGTATTTCGCGAGCGATAGAAAATAACGGCTGCTATGTGCGGATATTTATATTCTATAAAATAAATATATAGGAAACAATTTCATATTTTTTATCACATAATAATTATACATTAAAGATTAATTATTTGTGTATACATATATATATACACATATACACACTATAAAAATAATAATACTACAAAAAAAGAAATAAATCACTGCTAATCTAACTTGACTTGTTTATCTGACATAAAATTTGCATCAATAAAATTTTGTTGCCACGCACTGTGAATAATAAATTTTATTCAATATTCATATACGTGTAAAAATAAGATCGACGATGTAAGTATCGAAGAGTAAATAGTACATACAAATGGTTTACAGATTAGAAGTAAATACTATATATAAATATTAATTTAAATATATTTTGTCAAGGCCGTTATTGTGTAATTTATAAAAACTGTCAAAGTGTTTTGATCATTCTGTAACATTAAGTATATCTGTAAATAATTGGTAATATCTACCAAGAAATATATGACAAGAAGTTTTTTTTTTTTTTTAAGTATAACGAATATATGAATACTGCATTAATTCATAATAATAAATAAATGATTGAAGTGCAATAAAAAGATATCATTATACTTTTATATTCAAACATTATCTACTTTGTTCGGTCCTTTTTACAAGTTTTGGTTTTAAAGATCGTTAATTTTCTTATTATTGTAAGGTACTTAGTGTAGATTACAGCCCCATAACTGACTAGTACTTTATGTTTGGCCAAATTTACACACATGTGCGTTAATTATTTCAGCATGATTTTGTGAATGCAATACTGAAACATAAGAATATAGAATGCCAGGATACATTATTTTAGACATGTAAATATTAATTTATAAAAGAGTCATTTAAATATTAATTAATTACCTTAAATCTTTATTTATGTTTTCACTTTCACAAACCATTACGAGCTTTACCATTTCTCATGTGACTATTATTTCTTGCCTTACAATGTTCAAATAAGACATCGTATGAATCAGCATCTGAATCTGATAATACCATTTTAGTGTGTGGAGGAACTGTCAAATAAATTTTAATTTATTACAATTAATTTATTACAATTTATGTACATTTTATTAACATATAAAGTTAATATTAAAATGCAAACATTACCATCATCTTCAGGTTCTGGTTGAAGAAGAGAATAACGAGCTGGCTTTTTTTTCGGACGCAATATTCTTCTCTTACTAGTACATATTCTCTGACATAAACAGATAAGTCCCCAAATAAGTCCAACCCAACAAACAACCAAGGATAATAGTGCTATTAACACATACAAAATACTCCAGTCTGAAAAATACAATTGTAATATTATCGATGAATTAAATTGTATCAATTTATAAAAGACATTAACATACCACAATTTGATTCTCCATTACCAAAATACTTTTGTATTAAATTCTGCATCCAAAATGCTTCACACATACATTGTCGTGTTTCCTGATCACACACTCCATGACCTTATCCAAAAAATATTTGTATTATCTTTCTGATTATACTAATATTATCATAGCTATATTATATCTATAGTAACATAAAATATATTTCTGTTACCTGAACAATTATTTTGACATAATGCAGTATCTATATTTGCTACTGATAGTTGTAATAAACCAGAATCTTGTTCGAGTTTTTGTTTTAATCTTTTAACCACATCTGGACCAGACATCGTTTCTTTGCCACCTCTTTTTTCTACATAAAATATTAGCACAGCTTTCCCTGTACGTGGTTCAGCTCTTAAGTTCCGTACGACAATGGACGCTTCATCTCGCAATAGCATTTGCAATTTTACAACCAGAGAATTTTTTTGAGATTCCGTTAATACATTAGCACCTATATTTAATGTCAATTCTACCAAATGCAGCAATTGAGGATCTGTAAATTCATTAATATGTTATTAATTAGTAGACTTATGCATTTATCCTTAATTTTTTTTTTTTTTTTTTTTTTTAATTCAATTATTTACCTGATTTTACAATTACTGATACAGTATCTTCATTGCTTAATCCTTGTTCATCTGTTACTTTAAGTTTGAAAAGATATCGACCAGGCACTACATCTGTTAACTATCATAAATCAAAGAATTATCATTTATGTGCAATATTATATTTTTTTTATACTTGCAAAATTTTGCAATGTTATTCTATTATAAAAATATAAATTATTACCATTAATACTGGTGATTTATCTGTTCCTTCGACTATAGTGCCTACTGCAAGACTAGACGGTTCTCTCGTCCATAACCATTGTCCAATACGTAAATCGTCAGAAGATTGGGAACCATTAAGAATCAAGGCAACGATAGGAGCTATTATAATTTGATCACCACCAGCATTTGCTTTAGGTGCTGCATTTTTATCTTTGAAAAAACAAACCATTTTAGATTAATATTATTTTAATATAAATTAATTATAGAATCTAGAATTCAATTTATATTTAATATGGAAATGGAATACATACTTTGTGTTACTTTGACACTTACTGTGTCAGAATCTTTATTTCCATTGTCATCAATCACTGTTAGCTTAAATAGATAATCTCCCTTAGTTAATTTTGTTACATTTGTAATAGATTCATTTACTGCAGAAAAATCAACTATACTGGGACCACTGTATGAGCAATATAGTTATAGGAAACATTAGCAAAGACATATAGAATACAAGATATATTTAATATATAATATAATAATTATACCTCATTTGTTTCCAATGGTATGAAACTATTTTTATATCATCTTTGCTCTTTCTACCATCTAATACCGTTCGTGTCTCTGGCAATGCAATAGTTATATCATCTCCAGCATTAGCTACAAAATAATAATTATAAAAATTATTATTAAATGAAATGGGTTAATATTATATCGCTAACTAACCTTTTGGTGGTTTATTTGTTGGAGGCTTCACGAAAACATGAATTTCGGCCGAAGAAGACTGGCCAGAATAATCTGTTACCTTAAGTACAAAAGTATACATTCCTTCTACTAAGTTTGATAGATGTAAATAGGGGGTTCTTGTAAATTGCATGTCCACGGCTTTGTTTTGATCGGAAGGACTTTTTGTCCATTCCCAGGTTGCTATTCCTCTATCATCTGTACTTAAGTTTCCATTAAGTATCAATGTATTTTGAGGTAAATAAATTATAACATCTTGTCCTGCATTCGCACTTGGCGGATAATCGATTACTTTTAAAACTGTTATATTAGCTTTTGTAGAATTTGTGACATGATCGGAGTCTTCAACTGTTAGCTTAAAGGTATAATTTCCAGCGATAAGATTATCCAGTTGTAAGGTGGGAGTATCAACTAAATTAGGCTGATATCCAATAGGACCTTGTTGCAATTCCCAATGATAAGAAATTATGTGATCATCATCTTTACTCGTTGATCCATCTAATACGGCTCCCGTATTCGGCAATTTTACAACTTGCGACGCAGGTGAAATTATGGCAATTGGTGCTTGATTTATTCTTTTGGCTAATTTTTAAAAGTTTACAATGAGAAATATTTCAATATAAGAAATTTTGTAGTTTAAAAAAATATATAAATGATAGAATAACTTACGTGGTAAAACACTGACATTTGCATAGGCTTCTCCATAAGCATTTGGATTACTTACAGCTACTTTAAATCTGTATAACCCTTCTGATAAATTACTCAGCTTAACAGTTATACGATTTTGATCAGTCATTATTCCTGTATGGCCTTCTGGTTGACTAAGTAAACTCCAAGCGTAATTATAATGTTCATTGCCTTGTTCGGCAGGTATTGTGTATGCTGATAACGTTACTTCATTCTCTGGCAAGCGTACTTCTTTAGAAACTGCAGATACTAACAACTGTATTAAGGTAGGCTTCACAGATGTAGTTGTACCTTTTAAAATTTCACCATTTATTTGAGGAGTAACACTAAGTTCTGCAGTTTCTATGTCATCTACCACCACACAAGTACCTGCAATTCGAAATACATCGTAGGTGTAGAATAATTCTTAAAATTAATTAAATATGTACTTATATAGAAAAAAAATTATATGCTATATATTATACCGGCGATATTCCTTTTGAATCCAAAACTGCACTGACAAATACCAACGTCATCTTTTTCCTCATGTCTAATACATACTTCATTAGATGCACACTCCGTTGGATCTATACAACTAACACTATACGTTTCAAATACAACATGACTATCGTCAATGTTGTCCATTAATAAGGGCCTATATGAATTTTACAAATATTTTAGCAGTTTAATAAAGAATTTCTTAGAGAAAAATTATCTAAAATATTTACCCAGTTTCATCGTTTACTTGATTCAATAGGTCACTCCATATTTCATTATCTTTTATCGGTTTGACTAAAACCATACTAGGTGCATTCTCATTTGGTAATTCAGGTCTATATAATGGCATGCACATTTTCGAATTACTACATTTCACATGATAACACGTGCTATTATGCATCAGAGCTACATTACATCGTAATTTATTGCAGCAAGTAGCGACGCAATGTTTCATATTTGTTACATGAGACCATGGCGTGAAAATACTCTGAGATAAATTTCCACGAGGCAAATATTTTGTAAATACATGAGGATATAAGCTAGGGCATATTATTTGCCATTTTCTATCCCAATCAGAAAAATCTCCAATGCAAGTTCCAAATAAGAATAAATATAGTCCAAGGTAATAAATACTAAACATTTTTAGCTGCAATTAATAAAAAGAAAGATTTAATCAAAATCGGTTATCGACTTTGGATATTAATTAATTTTGACGATGAAGAAAATCAATATATTTTTGTTTATTTACCTTATTATGCTTTTCTGAAGAATGATAAATATTTCACTGTAAAATAAAGTTCCCTCTTAGATGTTTTTATATATCATATATATCATTTACACATAAACTGCATTTACAAACTGTCGACGATTCGTCCCTGTGTCGTTATTTTAAAATAATTCACAGCTATACATGATGAAAGCTTATCATATATTAGTAGCATGTTATTATCACGACCAGCACCTAATCAACTATAAGGGTAATTATCATACTTCCTGGTAAGCCAAAGAAAGGAAATTTAATAATAACTGATAAAATATTGCATTATTAAACTATTCACAACATTGGGTCCAACTTCGTCGATTAATTATTTGGATTTTTTTGACTTACATAGAAATCAAAAGCTTTGTCCAAGAGATAACACTATTTAATTTCGTTTATATTCTCTTTGACACCTGCATCACTTGCATACACCATTGCGCATGAATTTCTGATTAAATGTAGATGTCGACACTGATGAATCAACAATCAAACTAATAACAAGCCTGAAAATATATAACATAACAAAATAAAAACAGAAAATATACGCATAGATTTTATATAAATATATACATATATGTTATAAATAAAATAAATTAGTGTTATGATGGCAGATAGAGAAAGTATACAACAGTACAATTTTGTACAAATAACATTTTATGACCAACAAAAGAGTAGCAGATTGCACTTAATCGAATGAAAGGTTCAAATTTTTAAACTTTTACCGCCATAATGTGATATTACATATGGTGTCGCCTTAATAATATTCAACATTACAGGATTATATTGGTTTTATTATATTATATAGCTTTAGAAAAAATTTCTCTCATGTAAAAACTCAAGTATTATTTATTTGTCCAAGGATTAGGAAAGAAAAAAAGAAATTAAATAAAAAACAAAGAAAAAGAAAAAGAAAAAGAAGAAGAAAGAAAAAGAAAGAGAGAAACATGTAGCGCTGCCAGTGAATTATGTACGAAACAGTCTAGCAGCCTGGTACATTCAAACTTGGGAAATGCGAAACAATGCGAAGTGTGGTATGGGCGAACGGCGGCCGTCGTGGGTGGTCCAAGTGGTTCTGAGAGCAAGCTTGTCTCGTGTGTGGTCCAAGCCGTTCGTACACTGGACGCGACTATCGCTCTGCCGCCAGAAGATGCGAGACACTTTGACCGTACAAAAGGGAGGCCTTTCTCCGTGGCTAATCGAGATTAGCTGAAGGAAATATTTCTATCTCTATGCCTGAGGTATAATTTTTTTCATTATTTACATCTCAATAAAAAATCTTTCCATTGTTTACATTTAGCCACGTGACTACATTTTAAATAAAATACGCGCGCTTTGTTCTATCTCCTCTCTCTCTCTCTCTCTCTTTTTTTTTTGTTGATTTTATAATTTAATTTGTCCCCTTTAATGTATCAACATTATAGCTCTTTGGTATTATTATTTCAGATTATGATCTTGTTAATATGTTGCATGCTTATACTTCATGGTGTCAAGTCAGAATTGGAACATACTTTTACTGGTAATTCTAATAATGAAAATAAAACATGGAAGGACTTAGATTTGAGTCACAGACACAGAATCAAGGATTCCAATTATCTGCTGGACAGGTATCCTTTGGGAGAATTACCTACTGATTTTGAGAACTGCCGTAGACCTGCAAAATGTATACCTTTACAGAAAAACACTTGTATGGGTACCAGATTACCTTATGCATCTACCACATTAGATCTTGTATCTGAATATACAACACAAAAAATAATCGAGGTATGTGTAATGATTTAAATTTAAGAATTTTAGAGATTTAGAATTTTGAAATGACATAGTTTTCACAATTGTAAGCTTCTCTTCTATTCGACATTTAAAATATATAATTTTCATCTCATATTATTTCAAGGAAAAGTTATATTTACTACAAGCATTAAGACATATACCAAAGTGTTGGGCAGTTGTACAACCATTTTTATGCTCAATATTTATGCCAAAATGCATAAACGATACGGTTGATTTGCCATCTCAAGAAATGTGTAAGATGGTATCAGGACCCTGCAGAATAGTATTTAATCATACTATTTGGCCAAGTTTTGTTAAATGCGAGAATACAAAACTTTTTCCAAGATTATGTAAAAATGATATAAGAGAATTGAAATTCAATACGTCAGGTAAATGTTTAAAACCACTGATCCCCACCGATAATGCACTTGCAATTTTTGAGGGTGTAGACGGATGTGGTACACAATGCAATGATCCATTTTTTACATTGGATGAAGAAAAACAAATTCATTCTTTCATTGCTTGGGCTGCTGGTATTTGTTGTATGTTTAATTTTTTTACTGTGGTAAGTATAATGTTCTTAGAGAGTAATAATAATAATATACCTTCCAAAAAGTTTAATATACTATTTGTGCATATTTCAGGTTACATTTTTAATAGACTGGAGAAGTGCAAATAAATATCCCGCATTAGTTATATTTTATATAAATTGCTGTTTTATGGTATCTTGTATAGGATGGTTAGTACAATTTACTCCTGGAAGTAGAGATGTGATTGTATGCCGTAAAGATGGAACATTAAGAATGAGTGAACCAAGGTATGTTTTATCATTTTGTTATTGCATAAAAAGGTAAATTTATGTGATAAAGTTTATAGACTATATGTATATTGTAATTTTCAGCGGAGAAAACTTATCTTGTGTTGTTGTTTTTGTACTTGTTTATTATTCGTTGATGGCTGCAATGGTGTGGTTTGTAATTTTAACGTATGCTTGGCATATGAGTTTTCAAGCCCTTGGTAAAATTCAAGATAGGATCGATAAAAAGGGCGCTTATTTCCATCTGATCGCTTGGTGCTTACCGCTTGTTTTAACGGTAACGATTATGGCATTGGGAGAAATAGATGGTAATAGTGTTACGGGTATCTGTTTCGTGGGTTATACGAATCATGCAGTAAGAGCTTGGTTTCTGCTTGGACCAGTGTTAATTGTTTTACTGGTTGGAGGATACTTTCTATCAAGAGGTAAGATTTACTATATTAGATATATATATATATGTTTTCATTATATATGCTATAAAAACAATATATTTTTATTGTCCATGCTTCTGATGTTGTCATGTGTAAGTATTAATTATAATAATGATAAGAAAATGTCGAAATAATATTTTATAAAAAAATAAATACACATTGTTTCATTTATTGTAGGATTGATCACACTTATTCGTTTAAAAATCAGTAGTCAGGAAATTATATCAGAAAGAGCAAGTTCTAAAATAAGAGAAACTATTGTTAGAATGGGCCTGTTTTCCATTTTTACATTTGCAGCAGTTGTAGTGACCTGCTATTGTCATATTCATGAATTTCAGCATTCTTGGCAGTGGCGACAAAGTTTTCGCGATTATATGATGTAAGAAAATAATTTCTACAAAGGATATTTTAAGTAGATTAGCATTTTTTTCTTTTTTTGTAATTTTGAATAAATTTTTTCTTAATTATTGAAGATGTTCGATAACGACAAAGTACGCAGAAATATCTGAATGTAAAATGGAAGCAAGACCAAGCGCTGCCAAGTTGCAGTTGCATTTACTTTCACCATTTTTCGCTGGTATACTTATGTCATCATGGGTTTGGACAGGATCCACGGTAGATACATGGACTAGATTTCTCCGACGGTATGTTATTATATAATTTTTATCAATGTTCACACGATATAAATGTTTTCTTTTTTTTTTTTTTTTCTTTTTTTTTTTTTAGGACTTTTAATTGTGAATCAGAAGAACCGATAAGATTGAAGAAACACAAAGTTATAGCACAAGCTTTTGCAAAACGCAAGACTTTCAACAATGCTGGTCGTTTATCAATTAGTTTTCATAATACTCACGAAGATCCGGTAGGACTGAATTTTGATCTCAACTCGGTAGCTTCGCAAGACTTTAGTTCAACTTGGGCTGCTGCTTTGCCAAAACTAGTAACAAGGAGAGGTGCACTTGTAGGTGGAACAACGGGTTCGGTATCCAGCAACAGAAGAAATTCAGTTGATTCTGAAATAAGTTTTAGCGTGAGACGTGTCTCTGTGGAATCTAGAAGAAATTCATTGGATTCTCAGATATCCGTTCAGATTGCTGAACTGAAAACAACGAGAAAAGTGGCAGGAAGTGCCCGTGGACGTCGTGGAAAGCGTAGGAGAGATTTTGCAAAATCAAGATCTGGAAAAGTTGGTCCACTTTTTCGACGAGGTAGTACTACGTCCCAAGAGAGTCAGCTGGGTGCACAAATACTTTCAGCATTGACCATTGGTGGTACATCCAAAATACCGCCTATTCAAGTGCCTAATATGAAAAGACGATCAGCTAGTGCTGGATTAGATGAGCGAGTTTTAAACTCTAAAATGCTCGAAGGGAAAGGCCCGGGTATGCTTCTACCATTTTTATTTCCAGATCAAAGCGGCAGCGATGAAAATTTAAGTAGCGAAGAAAAAAGACATCAAGATATGAGAGATAAAGATATTGATATAGAAGCAGGCAATGTCGAGAAAGAGGATCAAGATACTGATAGCGATGATAGTCAGCCCGACGAAGAAACGAAGATATTAGAACCGGAAGAACCATTAGAAAATAGTAAAAATAAGACGAGTAATAAAAGTGCCAAGAGTTATTGTCACGAAAGTGATATTAGAAGTAGGGAAGGTCGTAAAAGCAAATATTTGTTACAAGATGAGGCTATTCTAAAACATTTGCTTCAAGAATCTAGCGAAACGAAATTGAAATGTGAAACAGAGAAAAAGGATGCATACAAAAAGGCCGGTATGGGTGATCTAGCATCTAGCTTAACATCTTGCTGTCCCGAATTAACGCGGTTAATGCAATCGGATGGACAAACTAACGCAAGAGAAATAGCTACGCAAACTTCCTTGCCTCTCGATATTTTGGAAATGGAGGAACTGAAACAAAGTATCGATGAGATCATTAATAGCAGACATTGTAGTTCTAAAGGAACGCAAATGTCACCTTAATTAAATAAAAAAATAAGAATACTACGAGGTAAGACTGAACATTAATACTGATAAATATTGTATATCATTGAAAAAAAGGAAACATTAACGTCCGAAGAACAATATTCATTAATATGTTCGACCTAACAATAGTGTGGTAACTAAAGTGTTGAAATCATGTATATTATATGTCTTTAATAGTTAAGGATATACGATTTTCTTAAATGGTATATCGAAACTTTTTTTAATTAATGTAAATGACTTATGACATGATCTGGATACACAATAATATTTATATATATCTATATTTTTATATATTTTATTATTATTAAAATAGTCATAAATATTTTCCGACGAATGATTTAATGCATTTATAATATCAGATCTGCAAGTGTATCATGTGTTAAGAAATATAAAGTAACTTTCTTTTTTCATAGAGAATCAAATTATTTCAATATATTTACATATTATTTTATACGAACATTGAAAGAAAATTTACTTATACAATATGTATAAGGATGTTTATACATAACAAATTTATGTATAAAATATCTTATATTTCAATAGTAGGTATAAACAATATAAACGATGACTCACATATAATCATTAAAAAAATTTTTTGAAATTAAATTAATATAAAATATAAAGTATAAATGAATTATTAGATTTGTCAATGAAATTGTTTTAAACTCATCCTTGGCAATATAAAAGCGCATCGCGCTTTTTAAAACCTCCTGACAATGTTTTTCTCATTTTCTCTCCCTCTTTCTTTGTCTATTATTTGTAAGTCTTTGCGAGACCAGGATTCCTCTTGTTCAGGTTCAATGGACATTATGCTTTCAAATCTGGGTTGTTATTCTCTGCTAGGTATTTTTTACCTATACCCGATACAAATTTATATGTATATATATATGTAATTTTATATCTTAACTTTATTTTTTGCTAGAGAACAAGATTTATATACAAGATTTTTAACGAATTAAAGAGCTTACAATGTATAGATATATATATCTTGGTTGGTATATACCTTTAGTGTGTTTACCTACGTGCACACCATATTAATTCGATTGCTTTTATTGTTATATTATTCTCCCATTATAAAAAGTACAAAAATAATGATTATGACGAGTTTCAATAAGAGCGGATTTTCCGAATTTTATTTACAATCAATCATTGTGATCCAGGCACTCTTATTTAACATGTGAAATTAGTTTTCCCTTGGGGTAAACAAAAAAAAACACATTTATTCTAAAGCTATGGTCAGAAAAATTCAGCTAACATGCTACGAGCGTCAGTCAGCCTTTTGAGCAAAATTAACAATAAAAAAAAGACTGGATTATCGATTCAGCATTACTGTAAAATCTGCCCATGTGCATGCATTATTTTGGGGGTTGCAGGGACGGGGAGGCTTTCGTCTGCTTGGTTCTGTTTACTTTGTTCTTGTTTTATGTTTTGCATTTTTTTTTCTTTTTCTTTTTCTTTTTAAAGAAGAAAAAAATGTGCATGTTTCAACGAGTGAAAGATAAAAGAAAATTTATTCACCACCACCGATGGGAGGCATAACATGATTCGAAGTCACTTGCCAGTGACAAGTTGGCGCGACTACTTGGAATGAGATTTGTGTTGTTTAGTTTGTTCGTTACCCCAAACGAGGTTGTTCAGCATTTCTCCAGCAAAATAGAGTATCAACACGAATGCCAATAAAACAATAAAGAATACTATTCGCAGAGGTAGCGTCAGTACTTCCATCACTGGATACACCCAAATACCACTCATGAAATAGATTACGTGCATCCTGTACGTAAGAAATAATTATTTCATTATATGTAGATTCATAAAAGAAAAGAAAAGAAAAAAAAAAGAAAAGATAAAAAAGACTGGCGAGTTAACTCACCAGATTAAATAAGTAAGTGTAAATGATAGGAGGCCAGCAAGACCATGTGATCTTTTAGGATACTTTCGTGGTGCTAGTAGCATCTCAATAATAGACGAAACCATAATCATCGTATGCATCAGATGATTCAACCACCATGGAAAATATGGATCCAATGCCTTTGGTAATACCAATTCACGGTCGATGCACATTATCGACCAGAACGTAATCCCAACGAACTGTAACGAGTACGATTAATACGATAATTTTTATAACGAAATTAGAAATTTTGTGTCTTCGTACCATGGATATAGGAAAACTAAGAGCTGCGTACACGTAATCCTTCAGCTTTCGTATAAATGGCGGCTTCTTCGGGCTAACTGCATTGGTACCATACCAATCATTTATGATACATATAAAAAAGAATATAGCTTGTAATATCTGAAACAAATAATTTCCCATATAAAATAATCCTTTCCTACATGATAATCTAATTCAAATGATCGATACTAAAAGGTCTAGGCATGTAATAAAAAACTATTAGCGTTTGCTAGTGAGAATATATAGACGTGAATCTATAAATAGAATTTGAATAAGCTTTTAACGAAATTTCCATTGAGCAATGTAGCCATCGAAATAAAACGTTGTTGCTATTTAATAAATTATTTGGACACGTGATTAAAAAATTTAATGGCGTACAAGGAAGAAGCATGTTTGATAAAATTTCGAGTAGAGATTTCTCGAAAAAAAAAAAAAAAATAAGGAAACTCTATAAATAATGAAATTAACGTAAAAGAACTATTTTGATTAACTAAGGAACGCGTTGGAGGTAATAATAAAACCGAGCAGTCGAAACCCGGAAGCAAATCGATAGGAAAGGAGAAAGAGTGTAACGATCGATAAATGAGTACTACACCATCATACGTAACGAATGAAAAGTAGACTTTTGTTATTTACTATAATCGGCGTAGTGTATAGTCTCACTACGGCGATTTTACGCGGCGCGTGCTTCTCCCCTTTCTAGTTTCAAAGCAAATCGAGTCGGATTATATCACACTATTGGTGTCGGCTTAAGTCGACATGATAATACATCTCTATATTTTTTTCCACACGAATATATCATATATACTCGTCGGTAGCTGCGTTTTCACCGATTATATAAGAAGTTAACTTCAATGCTGCTTATAAGAATATGGCGCAATAGTTACAACCATATTAAGCGGTTTACCATATAAATATTATTTTTCTCTCGCTCTTCTTTGCCTTAGTTTTGCGATGTTTAAGTTACAAACGAGTTATATTTTTCGAATTAGAAAGAGAAGGATAGATACGTAATAGTAAATGAAAGACCGTTGGAGTCTTAGATAATATAGAAAGATAGAGAAATTATTAAACGAAAATGAAATCATTTAGAACGATACTAACCGCGTCCCAAAACGTAAGAAATTTAAATCTTCCACCAAAAGCGCTGTGGACCTTCATGATATTCTGTGGCACCACGGTATACGTATAATCATAATAAACAGAATATGCGAATTGCAAACAGGCAATCACGTGAAATCCTATGAGAATGGATTCTCGCATCTTGTAGGCTATTTTTTTTCTTCAATTCTCTGGAGTCTTCTGGAATAATACATACGCAATTTCTTTGTTTCTTCTTTTTTAATATTTTTCATTTAGGTCAAGATTTTCGTTTTATTTTTCACCTAAATTATTGCGAAATAATTTAGACGTTAATTACGTTAGGTGAAATGCTATCACATTTTCGTATCTAACACACATACATACGTACATACATACATATGTACATACATACATATATATTCTCTCTCTCTCTTTCTCTCTCACTCTGTGCTCTCTCACTGTCAACCAGCCGAGACACGATCGTGTTTGGATCGATAACGGAGATAGCGAAAGATAGAAACTAGGCCTCGTTGCTAGTGTACCCGAGGGGTTCCTTTAGTCTCCTTCACTTCTTTCTCTTTAATTCGTTGTCTACTAAATTTTTTTTCTCTTATTCTCTTATTCTCTTACTATATCTATTAATTATTTCATGTTTCGAGATAATTAGATAAAAAAGTTGTAATCGTTGTCTTTTTTTTTATCTTTATACGAGTTTAAATAGATTGAAATATTTCTAGGTGAACTTTGATAAAAAAAATACTCTATACTTAAAATGATTCGTTGCTTAATATAGAATGCGCGCGCGTATCGGTTGCATGATTTTCGGATACTATAATTTTTTTATTGGATACTAAAATTTTTTTATGATATTGCTCATGTTTCATCAAATATTATCTTGACATTTTATTCTTCATGTCTTTTAATTTACATTTATTTTTATATTAACTAAATAGAACTAAAAATGATTACGCGTTGAAAATGCATATAAATACTATAAATAATTTATATATCTTATATGTAAAAAGACTTGAACGTTTTTATAAGTGTAATTATTACGAAATCACATAAAAAATTATAGCTTTAGAGGAAAATTATATAACAAATTTTCCTCTAAAGCTCTTATAAGACTTAAACCCTTATAAGACGTAATCATTTGTTCGTATTTTCACTAAACAATAGCAAAATAACATTCATATTTATTAAACTCAATCGTACATTTACTTTTTTTAATTCAACAATAAATTCGAAAGACGCATCTCGAAAAATAAAAGACCGTTTGACTTTTGGGCATCTCTGAATAAATAAAAAAAAGAAAAGAAATAAACAAGACAGAAAAGAGAGAGAGAGAGAGAGAGAGAGAGAGAGAGAGAGAGAGAGAGAGAGAGAGAGAGAGAGAGAGAGAGAGAGAGAGAGAGAGAGAGAGAGAGAGAGAGATTATAAATCATGAGATGTGTTTTTTCCGCGTTCTCAACGATAAAGAAAGGGTCAAACTGTTTTTATCATCGTCCATCGACGTGGCTACGTATCAGCTGCGTGTCCTTTACACGTGTTTGTTTTTCAGCACATTCGCTTTTTGTTTTTATTTCTATTTTTTTTTTTTAATTATTTTTATTCGCATGATCGTGCTCTCTTACTTGTTTTATTTTCTCTCCTTTTAACATGCAAGGAATGTACACTGTATCTCACGATTTTTCACTTTTCTCGTGCGAATTTTGCACTATTATTAACAAATCTTATCGGCTCTTTTTTTATTACGTATACATACATCTATATGAAAGACTTTTTTGAAAATTTTCAAAGAGGAAAACCTTAATAGATATCGTTGAAATTTGATGATACGCGATGTTCGTACTCCGATCGTCTCGGCGGACTGTAACTTACTGACGGATGAGAGAAAAAGAGGTAGGAGAGAGAGACAGAGAGAGAGGAGAGAGAGAGAGACAAAGATAGAGACAGAGAGAGAGAGAGAGAGAGAGAGAGAGAGAGAGAGAGAGAGAGAGAGAGAACAGAGGAAAGAAAAGGCGTGCGCCGCATCGTTCGTTGGATGCTTGTTCACTTTCGAGCATGCGAGTGGCTTTTGGAAAAAGATAAAGAGAGAGAAAGAGAGGAGAGAAATGTTGATGTAACTGATTGGAAAAATAAGAGAATAAATAAAAACAAAAGAAAAAAAGGAAAAAAGTGATAAAGCGAAATATTAAAGTTCAACTATTCAAATTTCAAAGCATTCTTGTTTCCTTTCATATATTATACAATATAATCTGGCGAGTTCAACTTTATCGATATATTTTATAACGAGTAGATTAGACATAATATCACACATGATATCACTTTGGTAGCTGAGCACTTGGCCACTAACGTTTCACGTACTATGTTCCGTCTCACTACTATTCCCTATTATACTAATTCCTATTTGGAGGGGAATGTGATATCTACTTTCTTTCTCTCTCTCTCTCTCTCTCTCTCTCTCTCTCTCGATCTACCTATCTATCTTTTTCAGTCTATATGTGTATTTGTCTCTGTCGAATCAGCTGTATTTACTGTCAAGCAAATACGCTTGGCTTTCACGTATTTATAAAAATTGGAATTACTAACATTAAATAGCCAAAGGAAGTCTAGTGATTTTTAGAGCAAGTATATATATATATGTATATACAGCGTAAAAAGAGAAAAGGACAAGCATAACGTGAAAAATGTAGTGTCATTTGGTATAATTCTGTAGGAGGAAAGAAAAGAATACGAAAGGAGAGGAGGTATGCGGCTGATTTTCTGCGCAGACCAAAAATGCGCATGCAGACATCATAATCGTTGTCGTTTTCTAGGGAATATATAAGTAAACGTTTATATCATACAACTTAGTAATATATCTATATATGACAATATAATGTAATGATAACATAAAAGATATAAAAAAGGAAAACTTGTCCAATCATGCTTTTCACGTGTCATTACACAATATTGATATAATGTGAAAACCTTTTATCTCAAAAGTTGGTGCATATGTGCAATATGTATTTTGCGTTAATTTGCAAATAAAATAAATTTTTTTGTTTTCTCTCGTCCTTTTTCTCATTGTTTTTCTAATTCTTTTGTCGCACAAGTTATGTGTCATACTACGGCCTCCTCGACGTGGGAAACACGAGAAATCGAACGATATTTGCAATATAATCGCTTACCGCAATGCGTTTAGTGCATTTCAGATTCTCCACTCTTAACGAATGAAGTTGAAATAGCGCTTTTTATCGCTGTTTTTGTATCGCTATAATCGGATTTTTTCCCTTTTATTTTCTCTTTTTCTTGCAAATCATTTTACGAATGATATGTCATATTTTTTTTTTTTATATATAATTGATAATACATTGATAAAGCTGATCTTGTCATTATATAAAATATAATATATTTATATAATATAATATATATATATAATACTATGACCTCCTCGACGTGGGAGACGCGAGAAATCGAACGATATTTGCAATATAATCGCTTACCGCAATGCGTTTAGTGCATTTCAGATTCTCCATTCTTAACGAATGAAGTTGAAATAGCGCTTTTTATCGCTGTTTTTGTATCGCTATAATCGGATTTTTTCCCTTTTATTTTCTCTTTTTCTTGCAAATCATTTTACGAATGATATGTCATATTTTTTTTTTATATATAATTGATAATACATTGATAAAGCTGATCTTGTTATTATATAAAATATAATATATTTATATAATATAATATATATATATAATACTATGACCTCCTCGACGTGGGAGACGCGAAAAATCGAACGATATTTGCTATATAATCGCTTACCGCAATGCGTTTAGTGCATTTCAGATTCTCCATTCTTAATGAATGAAGTTGAAATAGCGCCTTTTATCGCTGTTTTTGTATCGCTATAATCGGATTTTTTCCCTTTTATTTTCTCTTTTTCTTGCAAATCATTTTACGAATGATATGTCATATTTTTTTTTTATATATAATTGATAATACATTGATAAAGCTGATCTTGTTATTATATAAAATATAATATATTTATATAATATAATATATATATATAATACTATGACCTCCTCGACGTGGGAGACGCGAAAAATCGAACGATATTTGCTATATAATCGCTTACCGCAATGCGTTTAGTGCATTTTAGATTCTCCATTCTTAATGAATGAAGTTGAAATAGCGCCTTTTATCGCTGTTTTTGTATCGCTATAATCGGATTTTTTCCCTTTTATTTTTTCTTTTTTTTCTTTCTTCTTTTTGAAAATCATTTTACGAATGATATGTCATATTTTTTTTTTATATATAAATGATAATACTTTGATAAAGCTGACCTTGTTATTATATAAAATTGATAAGTATGATAAATATATAATTATATATTTATTTATATCTCGAATGAAATCGTGAAATCAATAATGTCGACTTTGATAGATATATTTTATATGTATTTTTGAATAAACGTCTGTTTTATATATATATATATATAATATATATATTATATATATATATAATATATATATATATTATATATATATATATATATAAATATTTGATTATATATATATATATATATTTGAATAGAATATTTTTGAAGCTTTTAACTTCTTTTAAGAAGACTTTTAAAAAGACTTCGATTATATAAAAACGAAGAATGAATTTTTAATGAATGCTCGTTGGATTAATTAAACTTTTTTATCTCTTATCAAATTTGTTGGCAATACAAAATGTCAGAGGGTATAATGAAAGAAGAAAAAAAGAATGTTAGATAACTCGAAAGAAAAATTTTCCACTTACCACGTTCCACATCGTTAAAAACTTCAATATTCCAGGGTCAAATTTAGAAAATAGTTCTTCCACAAATGGAATCGATTGTATGAAGGAAGTATAAAAAATAATGTCAGCGTACATGGCGCACGTGCCAATGTGAATAAAACTATTCATCTTACGAATCATTTTGTGTTAGATTTCTCCTGAAAAAAATATTTTTATTTGTCAGTTTATCGAAAATTCTTTTCTAATCTGTTAATAATGTTATAAAATAAAATTGTAATTACACGATTAGTTAAAAATACGAACGAAGAAATTTTATTAGAAGCTTAAATTATGTTTAAAATTATCAAATTATATATGCAGTTTCAATGTTCGTGCTTATAGATGATAGAATACAATAAATATATATATAAAAATGAAGAAAGTTAGAAGCTGTATGCTCGATCCGAAGTGTTCTACAGTTCTTACGAGACTGAAATCACTTACCAACCTGTTTCCTTGTAGTTGTATGCGTGAATATATACCGATATATTTAACTGAACGCTCATACATATACACAGAGTACAATGAAAATAAGATTCAACGAAGAATTTTAATCGTAATTACAGATTGCTATAATATCATAAAAAGACTTTTATAAAATTAGACAACTATATCGTCATTATAATATTTATATTCCAATATATAAATAGGTAATATCATTATGTAAATAATATTATTGTCAAAATGATATTATTGTAAATAGTCAAAGAATAATGTACTTTTTAAAATAAATTATTTGAATAATTAATGGTCTACGTACATTGAAGAAATTGAAGTATCGACGACGTATACGATGTGTTAGTAGTTAGATCCCGTATGTGCATGCGCAAGAGATAAAAGTTATTTAGGTTAATATTTGATTGTGGTAATCGTGATCGATTAAACTGTCGAGTTAAAAATCAACATAGCTTTTATTCGATGTTATTTATTATAACACTATTTTTTCTTTCGATTTTTCTAACGCAGATTTTAATAATCTCGATTCTTCTAATGAGATTTAACTTATAAATTATCGATCGATGGCACTAAAATTAATTGTTACACTCACACAATTTCTTTTTTTCAATCCAATTTCGATCACGGATCTTACAAGAATTTGCATAAATTTTTATCGAATGTTTTTTTTTTTTTTATAATGAAACATTAATAATCAAGCAACGAGGAATTCGAAAGCAAGATGCTTCTATCGCAAAAGAGACTCGACTGGGAGCGACGATGCTGATATACGGTTATTAAAGTAATCGCTGATAAATTTTTTATTTAACTAGCACTTGGTAAAAGAGGAATCGTTTTATGGTTCATTCTTTGATCACGAACTATACTTATGTCATACCTTAGTCAGCCTGCTGTTCTTCGTACAAATTTTTTGATCGTGTCCTTGTAATAATTTGCTATTAATATTTTTAATGATATGTTCACACGAAAAGAATTAATAAGTAGTTTGTAAATTACGAACGGGAGATTATTAATCACATATATAGACGAACAACGTTTCATTCAAATATTTTTCTTGTTCACGAAACAAATTTAATCAAATCGATTAAATAAGATTGTCCTTATGATCGAACAAAATTTGATAGAATCGGTTCGATAAGATTATCTTTTAGACTAATTAGAATATCTTTTTTTTCGAGAAGGTAGCCAATGCTATTCGTTGTTATCAAAGCATATGAAGCTTGAACGATTTCAAAGTCTACTGCAAACTGATGAACAAATGTGTTCTCTTTATTTATTCGCTGATGGAGAGACGATTTGATTTTTTATCGAAGCATCATATAACTACTCCCCATCAACTCTTTCGTTCCTTTCGACATTCTGGTTTAGCAATAGCGAAAGAAATAGAATATCTCTCTGCTTATTATTTACTGATACAGTGATTAATATGTCGTGATTAAAGGACGAAAGTTTAGATCGTTACATTTTATTTATGCAATTTCAACTCTTAAACTAAAGCAAAATATATAAATAGAACAAGTTAGAGTTACTTTTAATTTTACGAACTGGTTTTCTAATACTTGATCTATTATCTTTTATTCTAAATGAATGGCCGAGTTATAGCAACGACAAAAATATTGATTTTATAAATCATAAGTAGCTTGCACATAATAAGCAGATTAATATTTAATCTATTTTCTTATAAAGGTAATTCAATAATTCTTATTTTCAAGTATTCAATCGATCTGTGTTGATCTATTTGTATTAAAGTTATTTGTATTATTTTGTCTCGGAAATATTTTGAATGCAATCTAATTCGTAAAAGTACTTATTACATATTTTTAGACTTTTCTTTTTAATCGATTTCATCTAAGTGTTAGTACAAGTGATTGGTTCAAATACCAATTAGCGAATGTAAGTAATATATATCTTTCGAAATATTTCCATTTAATATGATAATCTCTGACAGGAATTGTAATTGAAGTATCGCTTTAATGAATTTGATTTAGACAATTTTTATAATTAAAAGCATAATTTAACAAGGATAATTCTTTTTAGTTGGCTAGATTAATTTCGTCGATAAAAATTCACTCTATACGAGTTAATCGTTAAATTTTATATCAAATATTAGCTATTACCACAATGTAAATAATTACGGGTAACTGTTTATTAATAATTGTCTTAAGTCGAAATTTGTTTTGCTTTCGTAAATATAACAATTCCAAGCCGTTCAAATAAATAATAATAAATTTGATAAAAAAAAATACAAAATTAGTTTATACTTATTGCGACATAGTTGATGCAATTGCATTTAGATGATTTCTAAATTTCAACGTAATAACACCCAAGGAACATTCGACGCACAGCTTCAACACTTCTTGATTCTATTCGAGCACATACTCGATTACATATGTAGATCGTAAATGGCTCTTAATTTATACTCTTGAATAATGTTCGTACCCTTTTCGATGCTCTTTTCGTGACTCATCAAAAAGTATTTTTATTTCTTTTTAACAATGAACGTTATGATGAGAGATAGAGAGAAAGGGCGGGAGGGAGCTCTACGATCATTAAGAATCATCGATCATTACTTCAAGATGATCGAGGAGAATGATTATTACTGTTTCGCTTCGGTAATCATAATCGAAGCAAATATCCGGTCTGGTATAGATCATGAGGCACATGCAGTGACACAATATGGCTGACTGTACTACCAGTTTATGATTTATATCTTCGGTGCAATGTACCTTGCCTGACCGGTTAACGAGCCAACAATGATTTACGTGGACAAGGACGCATTGTGAACTAGAAAATACAAGAGTAGTCGATTCTCTATCTTTTATAAGACACGATTACAAGTATGATTGGTTTGGAAAGCCACGTGGCTTTTCCTTAATAGTTTAGCTGAAGGGTAAAGGAAGATTTATGTTTGGAAAATGTTCCTTTACTCAGTACAATTCAAAATATTAGGAATAAAATATTGTGTTAACGGGATGAAAGAACAGGGCACTACTTTCTCAAGTTACAGTCATCGTTACCAACCGTCTATTCTAATGGTCGTTCGGGGAATCCATAGAGTGGCGCCTTCTTTCATGGTCGGAGGTCGGTTACCGGGCTGACGGTTTCGAACCGTCAGTTTCGCGCCGGACGGTTTCCTCGACAAGCCGGCTCGAGTTAATTCGAGCCAATTCGAAAAAAATCGTCTTCTTCCACCAACAAAAATCAAAAGGATATCCTAAGAAATACACTGTTTCTTCGTGCTAATTGAAACAAAGTGATTCTGTGTGTTTTAGGTACGGGATTGAAAATAATTTATCGAAAATTGTGAGAAAAAAATAATATAATAATTATCGTGTAGGATCGTTAAATGAAATTTTGTTTTAATACTCAAAACTTGCAATTGCACGTACGTCGATATTAGAAAAAGGTATCTTTTGCCTATTTTTAAAAAAAAGTTCTTTTAATTTCTTATTTCAAATATATCATTGTCTTTGAAAATGAACGAATACTTTATCTTTCGCGTTTTTGTTTTCAATACAAAAAGTAAATAGGTTTTTTCAGTTGCTGTCAATTTGCTGTATATAATGATATACTTCTTTTTTCCAATACTTCCGATACACAGTTTCTGAATATATTTAGATGAACAATATTCAACACTAATAAAATACGATAAGATAAGATATTTGAATAACATTTAAATTTACTAATTTATTTGATTTATTTTTGCCGCATTTCTGAGATCACGTGTAATAAGTTGCCATCGAAACCGATTTAAATGACGTTTTTGAAATTAGCATCAAAGTTTTTACTTCAATATTTTTTTTTGTATAAAGAATAAAAAAAAGTATAATTTATTTTTAACGTCCACTTGTCAATTTGGTTGTAAATTTCTCTCTGTCTCTCTCTTTCTCTCTTTTTTTTTGTTTTTTAATGCAATTAAACGGTGTTATTGTCATTGGCCAATAAAAAACGTAGCATATCGCTGTGAGCTTCACGTTATGTTAATTGTATCATCTCTAATTCAATCGAAACGGAGAGAGAGAGAAAGAAAGAGAGAGAGAGAGAGAGAGAGAGAAAGAGAGAGAGAGGGAGGGAGGGAGGGAGAGAGAGAGAGAGAGAGAGAGAAAGATAGAGAATCGATAAACTTGCCCCAAGTTATTTAAGCTCAACAAAGGATGAGCTTTAATAAATTGATAATAGTTTCGACTTCTTCTCATGGAAACGTTGAAATAAATTTGAACTCAAACAGTTGACTATTTTTATTTGATAAAACACTATTCTTTATAAATAGAATGAAATTTCAAGATAAGTATATTGTTATTATGGATAAATATTAGGGGGACCGGAAAGTAATGTCGTTTTTTCGCATGTCAATATTTGATTGTGATTAAAAATAAAAACTTGTTAAAAATTTATTCGTTTGAATTTAATTTAAGAAAGCAACATTACTTTCCGGTCCCCCTAATAAATATACTAATTCGAGTCTTGTTTCGTCGTTTACATATGTAAAGAAAAATAATTCTCCAATTACTTATTTTTATTAATGATATCAATACAGATTAATGGACCAAAAGTTTTTAGGCCTGTATTTCTGCAATTTAAGAAAGAAAAATTAATTTGATAAGTCACAAAAAAGAATAATCACTTTTGATTCAATCAGTGGTTTGAAAATCTTATGTGTTTGAGACAATTAGCTAATTCAATATTTGTACGATTAATCGAATATTCTGGATTATAGAAGAAGAAAATTAAACATCGTTTAGTTATTTTTTCAATTCGTTTTACCAGTTCTCTAGCGTCATATTACGTAACGTCCTCGATGGTCTACGTTACGGTTTGTTTCGCTTCCACAACTTGTACACGAATAATACTTATCGAAGCATATACACCTTTTAAAAAAGTATAGTACAAAATAAAGAAGGAAAGAAAAACTCAACTTCGTTTAGACGTTTCTATTCGAAACAAACATATGAACATTTTTATCTTGATCGTATTAGAATCGATATTTTCTATAGATATTCTTGAGGAGAACGTTCGCATCGATTTGCATCGATTCGAACGTTCTCATTCGATATCATCGAGGCTCGTCCTTGAAGTATTGGAAAAGTGCAAATCTCGATTCCATAGTAATATTCATTAGAAAACGATAGGTTATCACGTCTCACGACTGAATTCAAAGATTCGAAACATCGATTACCATAATTTTAAATTTATATGCATCCATATATTTTTGATATGACTTTTATAAACTAGCTATAAAACAGTTATAAGCGATATTTCGAATTCACCGTACTTGTATAATTAAGTGCATATATATATATATATATATATATATATATATATATATATAAATATATATATATATATATAGTAGTATGACAACGCAACTAATAGTTGTCTTATCTTCACGTACGATTAATCAGTATGTTACGCTATTTTCTTCGTTGTCCTTCCAGATTACTAATCGTAACTAGTTAAAAAAAAAAAAGAAAAAAAAAAAAAAGAAAAACAAGACAATTATCTATTAATTATGTGCTACGCGCGTAGTATACCGTGCTTCTTTGACTCGATTGCACGTACTCCAGTCGAATAGTCAGTAAGACGTGACGATTGCATACATTCGCAAATATATCTCTCTTTTTCCCCCACTCTCTGTCTCTCTCTCTCTCTCTTTTTCTCTCTTTTTCTCCTTTTTTTCAAAACGTTTATTGTTCTGGTGATATGTTTTCTTCGTTGTTTGCACGAAGCACAATGTTTTGCATTTATGTACGATGGTACGTATCGAATATGTACCATCTGTTCCGTTAATTTTCTTTGTTACATTTATTCGAGACTTTTGTCATAACAAGAATAATTATGAACGTTTATAATAAAGAAAATATTTTGTACGTGTCTAAGTGATATGGAATTTCATCGAGAAAAGTTTTCAAATATTTTTTCGTCCTTTGTAAAATGATCAAAGTTTTATGTATGTGTGCGGATATGTGTTGTAGAAATACACAAGAAGATAGAAAAGAAATTTTTGTCGATTCGACGATCGTTCTCGATCGATCTCTTTTCTCTTATTTTTCTTGTAATCCAGATATTCTTTCCTCATAATTTTTCTACACCTGTCCACGTTATGAAATTATATACAAACGTATTACTACTGGCTCTCTCTTTCTCTCGACGCCAATGTACCAAAGCGATGAACGCTTGAATTTTTCGGAGAACGGGTTCACAATAGCGGCGCAACGAGCAGAAAGCTGGTGAGTCAGCCTCCATTCTTCCCTCTCCTCTTTTCCTCTTCTTCCATGTCTCTCTCTTTCGCACGTTCATTGCTAACCGGCTTGTCCTGTCCTCTTCTGTCTCTCTTGGTCGATGTCCCTCACTCTTACAGGTAACCGGCTTCTCTTGTCTTCTTCTATCTCTCACAACTCAACTGAGTCCTTCTCCTTGGTATATATATATATATACATCTCTCTCTCTCTCTCTCTTTCTCTCTCTCTTTCTCTTTCTTTCTCTCTCTCTCTCTTTATCCTGCTCTTTCATATTTCACAAGAGCTACACTCTATAACTCCGCTCTGAACGGCCACTAGCATGCGACTTTATCGGCGACCTGTCAGTCGCCGATCGAGCTTACCTTTGCGCGTTCGATCTCAGAGATCCTTTCTGTGATCTCTCTCCCTTTTTTTTTGCTTTCTTTTCTACAATTATCCTTGGGTTTTATAATCTCTTCAGAAGTAGAAAGTGAAAGAGAGAAAAGGTTGTGAGGTACGATAAGCGTTTCGATTAATAATTAGCCTCAAAGAATTTAGTAAATACTATGAATGATTAAGCTAACCTTGGTGCGTGTTTAAATTTTTATGAATTATGCAATTCATTTTTGGATTGATATATTCATTCGATCGAAATATAAATATGATTAATATATTATAAATTATAATTCTGAGGAATTTTTTGTATGTTTTTTTATGATCTTACAAATCCATAATTATTGGAAAGAAAAAAAAAAAAATTCTGTCGCGGTAATGACACGGACAGTTTCGTAAGATCTTACATTCGATCACGAAATGTTCATGTGTATATGAATGTCGTAATCAACGGATTAGAAAAGACTTTCGATGATCGTAATTGATTAAGGAATTGTCTATCGAAAGGAGTTTTCGATGTCGAGGTGATTCGCCTTCTTTGGCGATGACTCATTCTTAGAAAGCTGGAAGAGCAGTGTTCACTAATCTACTTCGATCAATCTATCGATCCTGTATCCTTCGAATAAGATTCTTTTTTAATCGATAAATACTTAAGATCATTGTCCTTGGTTCGTATGAATCATCGTAAATTTTGTACCTTTCAAAAGAATGGTACAAAATTACATGATTTATTCTATCTTTGGATCGAAGTATTTAAGTTGATAAAATGAGTATTCCTCTTTTATTTAACTAAGATATGAATAAAACAGTTATGATTAATCGGTGAATAATTTCCTTAAGATTCTTTGTATTTCCTTACTTTATTCGAAGATCCTACAAATGTGCTCTTTTACTTTTTGTGTTCGTAAAAAAAAAAAAAAAAAAAAAAAAAAAAAAAAAAAAAAAAAAAAAAAAAAAAAAAAAAAAAAAAAAAAAAAGTAAAATGATAAATCGCGATTTGTCATAGTTTATTTGTTTATGGGCGCGTCTATAGACATTGATCTTTCGTGTCAAGATTTACCAAGAATTTTTTATAAAACATACTTGGTTGGCAAAGAGTGTCACGATCAGCTTAAGACAGCGTAATTCGATCGGTAGACTCGAAGTTCGTATTACGAGTACCACGATGGCTCAAGAAGCAAGAGATAGTAAACGACTGATATTGCAAAAGTTGAACGTGTAAAAATCGAATTAATTTTATTTTTAAGATCTTCCTCGTCTTTCATCGAAGAAAAGAGGAATTAAAAGATTTCAAAGATGTCGGAGTATTGCGAATATATGTGGGATCCGAGTGGTCACACAAGTACGTCACTTTCTCGGAGTATTTACCAAGAAGATGCGAAGTTGGACAAGCGAGACAAAAAGCTGGCCATTAAATCGGTCCGAGCAATTCTCCGAGAGATGCCGGATGTGGGTAAGACGATTTTTATATACCCTTACTCTCTTCAATTTCATATATACATATATACATACATACATATATACAATTGCATATATATATATATATATGTAAAATTGATATGTTTTGTAAGAGGAGTTAGTAGTTTGCTTGAAAAGCCTCGAATTTCCGGTGAAGTCTCGTTCGTGCCTTCCTGTCCGATATAATTCCGCGTCCGTATTCAAACTGCTTCCCGTTTCGCCTTGAGCATAACAATGACCCCGTCCCTTTTTAATTTTTTTTCCTCTTTATATATATACATATATATATATATATATATACATATATATGTATATATATATATATATATATATATATATATATGTACATATATATGTATGTGTCTACCATCATTATTGGCTTGTCCTAGACTTGAAACATTGCACGGACGAATATATTACGCGCTTCCTGCTCGCACGGAAGTATCGGGCCGAGCAAGCAGCTGCTCTGATAGCTGCTTATCAAGCTCAGATAGCTCATCGACAGGATATTTTCGGTAATCTTACTGCTCGTGATCCTGCCTTGCAACGAGCTTTACGTGCTGGTATACCCGGTGTTTTACCTGCTCGCGACAGGTAAGATCGAGAGATTTAAATCGATCCGATTCGTTAAAGTTTATCGTTTAACATATTGAATGCCATGAAGGATTTTTAATTTGAGATCTAATCAGTGATGCTTGAAAGGCTAATAAAATAAAGTATACTGTAATAATTATGATAATGAGGAGTGTATTGATTTGTAAAAAATCGAGGTATGGCATTTAACATGTTGAACGATAAAATACATAAGAATATGTTAATCTAGATAAGAATATCATAATCTAAAGATAACGTTTTTTTTAGGAAAGGCAGGTGTGTTTTAGTAATCCTAGCTTCACAATGGGATCCTATTGCAGTGCCAGCATTATCAGTTCAACGAGCTATCTTTTTAGTCCTTGAAATTCTAATTCAAGATCCAAGAAATCAGGTTTGTTCGCTAAGAAAGAAGATTCTCGATTAAAACATCATAATCCCTATGTAACTTACCCGGAAGATTCAACTACATTTAGCTTTTATTTGATTCTTACAGCAATCCGGTTTCGTTGCTGTGGTAGATTGGAGTGGATTTTCTCTGCGGCAAGGCGGTGCATTAGGTGCAGCAGCTCTTCGAAACTTGATAGCTGCGCTTCGTGGTCGATTTCCGGCCAGATTCAAGGCTATACACTTCCTTTCGGCTCCTTTATACGTTCAAGCTACTTTGGCTCTTGTTAAACCTTTTCTGGATGAAAAGACTCGTAATAAGGTGAGTTTCGAGTTATTCTTTAGTATAACTTCCTGAAACATTGTTCGTTTTAAATGATATCCGACTCATTGAATGATTAATATTGCGTGAGCTGATATAATGTCATAAATTTTAATAATATGTTATTTATAATTTAATTTAGATGCTATCCAAGTTTTTAATTTAAATTTATTTTAAATTTATTTCAACGTTGTGTAAAAATTTTAAAACATTTTCTATGATTAATATAGTATTATTATTTTAGATTTATCTGCATGGAAATAATCTTAGTACTCTCCACGAGCATCTCCCAACGGATATTCTACCTGCCGAATTAGGGGGCACTGGGCCATCCTTTAATCCTGGTCTTTGGGCCGAGCCAGTCATTCATTCAGCAATGAAGGAAGCTGAATTGGCAGCTTTGAAAAAGGAAAAGGAACAATTACAAGATGAAAGAAATGAGAATGCTTCTGAAAGACTGACAAACTTTGCTGACGATGACAAAGTCGTGGAATCAAAGAACGTTGAAAATTACAAAAGAAATGAACCAGTTTTCGAAGGACACAAACACGAAAAAGAAAGTTTCAAGAGTTTTGGTAAATCCTATCGAAATAATGGAGATGGGAAAAGCGTGGAGCTAAGTTTGATTAGAACTACAGTTAGTTCTTTTGATTCGAAAAATGCGAACAAGATAGAAGAACAAAAAGATAGAACTCGTTTAATAGAAGTTTCTGAAAGTAATAATGGTAATGAAGTTAAAACTAATGGTTTGGATAATAGAATGGATCATTTAAGAGAAGTCGACGACTTGGCATTACTCGAGTTACAATCTGAAACGAATTCGAATGAATTTGAAATGATATCTAGTAGGCCCGACAGTGAAGATAGCAAAGACAATTCATTAGAAAATAGATCGGAAAAGGTACTCATTAGAACTGGTAAAAGTCATACGCCAACGGAGGAAATGAATCTCATTACGTAAAAGTGATCTCTTTATGTCGATACTAAATATTTCCTCGAAGTATGCGATAAAGATTCTAGATAAATATTATACAATTAGTTTTGTATGTAAGATTTTTAAGTGACACACGGTATAATTGGAAAGAAATAACGCCAAGTACATTTGTCGATACTTTGACGATACAGTTGTTAATGAACTTCTGTGATGAAAGTGAAAGTATTTTTTTTTCTTTGTAATGTATTACACGTACTTATATACTTTCTAATAGGTGATCCTTGTTCTTTTTTTTTTTGTGGACCAGTATAATATCGTAGCTTCCTAAAATATAATTTTTATATTAGAAAAGAAATAATGAAAATTTGTTAAAAACATATCATAAATATTTACTCGTACGACAAGGACTGATATATGTAACACATATATATGCTTTTATGCATGCTTGTATGAGGCTACGTTGAACAATTTATAGCCAAATTGAAGCTGATACCGTTTTTATGAAGTTCCTGTATTCTATTAATAAAATTTTTATTGCTTATTTAAATTGCTATAAATTTAGATCAAATACATAGACCCCATGCGTTTAAATATTTTTAAATATATTATCTACTTTATATGGACGTATGGTAAGCTCTTTCTAAAATTATTAAAAATTATACGTCAAGGTATTCTCCAGAAATTGTATTCGTTGTACTTGTAAATATGTAATAAATTATTTATTCCACAAACACTCGATCGCAGAACTTCAAATACATCATGTATTTATTAAGAATATATTCTCTTAAAAACATGAAAAATTTCATTTAAACATTGTATTTGTTATGATAAAAATGAAAATATATTTTCGAATAAAATAAACGTTTGTTTTCTTTTTACTTTGTACAATACAATTTCCTGTGAGATAACCTATCCTAACAGGAAATGAGTATCGGAGAATTTTTGATGGAATAATAGAGTAAAAATTTATTATTTATAATACAATAAAATATATTTATATATACGACGTATTAACATCAATAGATGATTTAAATAACATTATACCTTATTACATTACCAAAAAGCACTTTCTCTTACTAAATGATTTCGTTATCACATTCTTTTGTGTATGAAAATAGAAAAGTCTACACAAAAGTCTACGAGGTAAAAAAAAAAAAAAAAAAAAAAAAAGAAAAGAAAAGAAAAGAAAGAAAAAGGGGGAGAAAAAGCTGCAGTCCAACATTTGATACAGAATATTCTATTTATATACAAATATACCTCTCGTACGATTTTATTATAGTTTCTTTATGTGAATGCATTATTATATAGAAAAACTTCTGAAGTATAAATTTACAAATGCTTAGTCATAAAGATTCAGTTGCTCAATCAGAGGTAGTTTTATATCTGCGCTTATTAATCATATATTTTGTAGACATTATTTATTAAAATAGATTTTTCAATAACGCGAATAATTTATTAATGAATTATTAACGAAACATCTGTTTATACTTTTTACCACGACATAATAATAATAAGTTTATATAAGATAAATTATCATTACCGCTTATAAAGAAATAGGAAAAAAAATAGGAAAAAAAAAAAAAATAAATAAAAAAAAAAAAAATAAAAATAATAATTCATCCTTGACATCGAACACGTCTAACACGAAAATAACGTTAATGTTTACCTTTCTTCTAGCGACTTTAATGCACAGATATCTTTCCTTGTGAAGATTTGAATGGTTCAAGAGCTGAGAAAGGCAGGATTTGGTATGTTAATGCATTTCAATGCATTCTCCATTATTATTGTCTAAAATACCCATACTTTTAAGCTACGATGACTGGAGGAACCCAACCTCCAAATCCTTTTTCAATTTCCTCAGCAACGGCAAGCGTTAAACGGTCTTGATTTAAACCACCAACAATCTATAGATAATTTATTAAATTAACGTTGATATGTTATGGGAAGATTTTAAAGAAAAAATTAAATAAATATAATGCCATGCCTGTATGCCAATAGGAAGTCCTTGCTTATTTAATCCTAACGGGCAAGCTGTAGCTGGCAAGCCCAAAACATTAATAATTGCAGTGTACGAAAAATTAAATGCTTTTATAAGTGGCTCATGATGTAATGGCGCTGCCGTAGGATGAGTCGGATACAAGAAAACACCATCTTCTCCCAAAATATCCTGAAAATATGCGAAATTTAATAGAACTATAAATACACGTATATTCATCGTATATATTATTTGAAGATCTATATGGATATTGAGGTGCATGCGTCGGTTCTAAGTCGAAACGTCACTTTGTCAGAATTAAAATGTCAGAATATAATTTCGAAGAGTGTTGCTAATACGATGTCTCGTATCTATTTGCATGCAGAATGTAAAATGATATTGTACTACTTATAAAAGAAGCACGCAATACCATAGAAATATTGCTTTTTCCACGTCAGATTTACGTTGGATTCGTGAGGAAATAAAAATCATGTCCATTAACAAACATACGATCCATGATTCTATGGCAAGAACAAATCATATCTGGCTATTTCTTGCAAATACATTGCAAAACAGCCAAGAGAAGTCCGATCCTAACAAGTTATAGGCGTGGATTTGTTATACGTAGAAATGCAGACACAGAATAGATTTTTCTCGATTCCTATGTGATTTTTAAAGACACCATTAACAACGTCTATATACCCTACCTTGAATTCTTGGTAAAGGTCTTTACTTTCTTGTATAAGTTTTGTGTATTGCTCACTCCCATGTTTTATACCAAACCTCTCAAATGTTGCAGTTAGAAGAGCAATTAAAGTATGATTACTTAGGAACATTAACCACTTTACAAATTCCCATAAAATATTTATATTTCCGTTCCGATTGGATAATTCGTACGAAAAATCTTTGTTATCTTTAGACGTCATATTCGCTAACCATAGAGCAATGCTTTTTTTAAATTTTCGCACATGTATTTTCGTGGCTTTTATTTTATATGCTTTTTCAAAATGAAGCAGCACTTTTCTCATAGCGCATTTTATTTCTTGATCTACAGGGGACACAAAGTATTGCCCTCCGTCGTCCTCCATGTAATAAAACTAAGTAAAAAAGTACAATTATAATTATTTATTGAAAATGATAATGTTTTAGAAACATTCCATTTACCTTGATCTTTGAAATATCAACTTTATCATCTAAATTCAATATATCTGCATTCTTATCAGCAAGTATTTTAAGAATAGGTTTCATATCCTGTGCATGTCTACACATAGGACCTATTGCAAGTAATTGATTTTGATCCTCGCTATGGGCACTTGGATATTGACCATCGTTTGAAACAATGCCTAAATTTAAATTCAATTATTAATTCAAGGCTAAAATAAAGCTTTAATAATAGGCATCAATGATTTTTGTTATAATATAAACCTTTGGAAGGTTTATGACCAAAAATTCCATTGAAAAAGCATGGCATGCGAATAGAGCCACCAATATCTGATCCTATTCCTAATGGTGAACCAGCTGCTGCTTGTATGCAGCCCTCACCTCCAGAAGAACCACCTACTATATGTCTAAAAATAATAACACAAAAAATTCAAATAAAACTAGAGCAGCAAATGTGACGACTGGAATGCGCTGTGCAATAATATATGATAATTAACATTCTAACCTTAAATCTAATATGTTATTACAAATATAATGAACTACCTTGTGTTGTATGGATTTCTGGTGGTACCATACAAACGGTTATGTGCTTCCCACCACATTGCAAGTTCTGAGACATTGGTCGACGCTAATGGTATAGCTCCTGCTGCTCTCATCAGTCTTATCACCTCTGCATCTTTCTCAGAGACAAAATCTTTACGAAGAATCAAACCAGCTGTTTGCTTCATATTAGCAACAGCGATACAATCCTATAGAATAGTAATAAATATATATCTCTGTCGAGTAGTTATTGCATAAATAAAGCATAGATTTTACCTTGGTTGTAAAAGGAACACCGAAGAAAGGTTTCTCTTTGGCAAGTACTTGTACGGATGGTGCATTGGGAGATTTCAACATTTCATCACATTGTTTAGCTTCTTTGAGCGCTTCTTCAAAGCGTTCTTCAACTACACAATTTAATACTGGCTGAATTTCTTTTATTCTGTCAATGTATGACTTTACTACTTCTTCGGAAGATAACTAAACAAAATCCCATATAGATGAGTAACACACAGTACTAATAAATAATATTAGATATATATATATATATATATATATATATATATATCTATATATATATTATATATATATATATTAGATTATATATATATATATATATATTAGATATTGGTTAACATACTTGTTTATTCCTAATTTTAAAAGCTAATGTGGTTGCATTATGTAAAAGTGTCAAATCCTTTATAGGTGGTTGAGATTCTACTGGGCCACCAATATAAGCTGCTAATGTAAATATACCCTTAGCAATGAACTCAATAAAACGATGGATTAAACTTAATATTTGTTTTCCTGAATTCATTTTCTTTTGATTTTTATGTTTGGTCGTCATTTATCTGCGGAAACGAATGACAATTTTATTACATAACTTAATTTTTTTTTATTATTACAACGGTGCGTCATAAATTATTACCTTTTCTTTTAAACATGCAAAAAGAAATAAAAAATAATAATAATAATAAAATAACACGTTTATTTATGATCAAAAAAAATTATTAAATGATTCAATCTCAACGCCACGTTGCTTAATACTACAGCTTATTTCATTTTCACACTTACGTGATATCTGATAGATTAGGAAAAAAAAAAAAGAAAAAAAATACAAAAAAAGAATCTTACGTTCGATTGGAAAATTGTAAATTTGAGATTATTCCTGAGAATAACTTAATAAATATAAAGCTTGAGAAGATTGGTTGTGAATTCACATAAATTGATCTAAAAAAGCGATTATATTCGCAAAAGTTTAAGAGTTAATCAGTTAACTTTGTCTTACAAATTTAATAATATTGTGTTGTTTTCAACGGCTTTTACGGCTTTATGTAAAACTATAAAGAGAAGGAAACAAAGAAAGATAGATAGATAGATAAATAGATAGATAGATAGAAAGGGAGAGGGGAGAGGGGGGAGGAGGAGAGCGAGAGCGAGAAAAAACATCGAAAATAACAACGAAAAAAAAAACGAGTAAAACAGCGAAAAAAATGGAAAATATCAAGCGTTTTAGACGGCAACATTTAACGAACACATTTTTTTTCATTTTTTTCCTCAAATCGTATAATAAGAAAAATATATACTTGATAAGAAAAATATTACTTGTCAAAGAGGAGGGAGAACGTGATAGATGAAGAAAAAGAGTGGGAACCGGTAATGAATGTTGTGTCCGAAAAAAGAGAATTGCAAGGTCGTTCGACCGATACCATGTGAGTTTGACAGTTTCGCACAGCTATTATCCCCACTACTTTTGTACAAAATTATAAAATTTGCAAGCGAAGTTAAAAAATAACATGTATTGTTGGAAAAATATCGATAATATCGTCGTTCAAGAAACGCCATTTACAAACGATGCTATGTCCTCAATTCGATTAAGGTATTCTTATAATACTTGAAATATCTAATATATAGACTAATAACTACAAAAAAAAGATAGAGAAGAGAGAGATAAAGAGAAATAGAGAGAGAGAGCGATAGAGAGAGAAAGAGAGAGAAAGAGAGAGAGAAAAGGAAAAAGAAAAGGAAATTGTAATAGATAAAATTGTACAGTAGAAATAGAATAAGAAAAGTATGAAATGTATAAAAATTACATACTTACAAATGTTGTAAGAAATTATTCACTTTTTCTCTTCTCTTTCTAAAATTTGAAGATTGAAAATTCGACAATGATCAACGGGAAATTCGAGAAAGAGAGAGAGAGGGGAAAGGAGAGAGAGAAAGAGAGAGAGATAGACAAACTGGATCTAACTTGCTGATTGAACGTTACCGGTAAAGAGAAAATCTAACACACACTATCAAGAGGACCCCTCGGTAAATCGTCTCTCTATATGAAATGATGATGAGGAAGATGACGAGCAACGAATGGGTGATTTAAAAGCGGTTACGAGTCATTAACGAAACGTCACTTTTGCATCGCTCTCTCTAACGCTTCCTTCACTTTCCTCTCTCCTCTCGCTCCCTCACTCTCCTCTCTCTATCTTTCTAATTTTCGTCCACTTCACATGAACATCCTCCTTCTTTTGTTTTCATTCCTTTGCTGTTGCAATTTATAGAAAGGTCTAGCTTAAAAATAGTAATTTTTCTATGAATAGGTATATTCAGTTAAAAATGACTATCACTAAATTCACAGCTTTCTAACATTTCTTTTACTTTTCTCTGACAGACGATCAGCATTGTCGCGAAGAGAGGAGAGAGGCGAGGACAGAGGGGGGAGGAAAGAGAGAGAGAGAGACACGACCGCGCCTCTCTCCATCTCTCTTTAACTCATTCTTTGTTTCCACGCAAGCGTATAGGGATAATCTCATGAAGGCGCGAAGTTAGCCGCGAGACGACCTCGTTCGATTCTCTCGTAAGCGATGTCGAAATCTAACCTCAAAATTACAGTCGTTCGTGAACACTTTCCGGCGACGTTCGTTCATCGGCCGATTTACGTCGAACGTAAAACTTTTCACGTGCGTTTTCAACAAGTCATTTATTCTTTTGACTTTGCTTGTTTGCACGTTTGATTGGCACACAGGCAAATTCATGAATCGAGCAAGTTTCTCTACGTGCATCTTTCTTTTTCTCTCGTGCAATGTCGATACTGTGACGAGATCAGTTATGATCGATTATGTGCTCTCACGTACGAATAAAGTTAGAGCGGTTGTCATGCTCATTGAAATATTTCATAATTAAAGAGCAAGGCATATCGAGTTAAATTTGTTCTACGTGGGCAGTTTTCTCGCTTTTATCTCGTGTTCATGACCTTGATAAAAGATAAATAGATATATACGTGTGTGCCTACATATATATATATGTATGTATATATGTATGTATCTATCTATATATGTATATATATATATATATATATATATATATATATATATATATATATAAAGAGAGAAAGAGAGAGAGAAAGAAAGATCGCGATGCATTTTAAATATGCGCGCCCGCAAAAGGTGAATGCCTTCTGATCATTCAAGAAAGACAAGGAAGCACAATTTTCTCAATTCAATTCATTCTATGTTTAATGTAACTTCCAAGAGTGTCAAGGCTATCAATGAATAATAGCATTTTCGAAAGTTTTTTTTCTATGGTATGTCTCGGTGAAAGTATTTTAAATATAAAGAAGAAAGTCTTTCGCCTTTTTTTATTACAATGACGTTCTATACTTTCAAAATCTATATGTATAACTAATCTATGTGATTAGTTATACAACTGTCTATATATGTACATGTATCCCAATCTTCTATCATTATCAATACATCAAGGATAGTTTCAAATAGATAGTCAATGTTGAAAAAGATGACATGGATCCTAACTAAATTTATTTATTACATAAGTAGAATTTATGGTCAATTGTAGAATATGGTCGTCGCTAAGCCCAATAACTAAGAATATCATTCTCTTTATTGTTTTATTATATTTAAAATAAATTTTTTGAAAATGATTGCGAACGATGGATCCTCTTTATTTTTACTAAATAATAAATGAAAATTTTTATGCGATGTTTCCAGTCGCCTATCGATCTGCGAGCACGATATATCCTCGCTTGGTCATATCTAAATTTACTGCATCGTAAACAACAACAAGGTGGTAGTCGAGACACAGAAAGGATTGCATCTATCTCTTCTCGCAAGAGATTTGTTTCTCAAAAAGTATTCTTTTACAACGAGTTTATGTACGTATATAACAAAGATACACGTTGAATACTATGCTATAATGCATATACACTCGACCTGCTTTTAAGTTTATTGGCGTAATTCGGTAAAATTAGTCGCGGTTTTAGTATACCTTCGCTACGACGCTATATCCAAACCAATTATAGTAATCTGTAATAATTTCATAATATTTTCAAAAAAGCAAAAAGAAGAAGAGAAAAAAAAAAGAAGAAAGAAAAGAAAACCTGTTTTATTTTCAGTGAAGATAATTAACGCACAATACATCTGGATAAACAATTATAGGTTTGACTCGATGAAGGTATCGATGTGGACTAATAACCGTGAGGTTGAAGATTAACGATCGAATTGATATTGACATTGTGAGTAAGAAAGAGAGAAAGAATAAGAATAAGAAGAAAAAGAAGAAGAAGAAAATACCTTGTAAAAGTGATAAAATATGAAGAGAGTTAACTTGCCTCAGAACGAAAACGAGACAGGTTCGGTCGACGCGACGGATTTGCAAGAAAAAATGAGGATGATCGATGTAAAATCTTCCTCACCTACGAGTCTCTTAGCAAAGAACACTCTGTTGCTACCGAGCGGAGTCGTTTATGTAAAACAATTATCCAATGTAAGTTCGACGAGCGACACTGGATCGTCCACGAAGTCTTCTGGCTCGGCAACTGGTAAGTGACTCTTCTTCTTGACTAACCTCCTCCTCCTCCTCCTCCTCCTCCTCCTCCTCCTGTATTTTCCCTCCCCCTCTCCCCCTCTCTCTCTCTTTCTCTCTCTCTCTCTCTCTCTCTCTCTCTCTCTCTTTTTCTCCTTCTATGCCGGCAATTCCCTACCCCCTCACTTTTTTCCGATTCTACTTACTTTTCACGTGAAGAATTTATAATTACCGAAAGTCCTTATTAATTCGAACAACGGAATGATTATTAACAACGCAACCCATAGCCATGCTACGTCATCTCTACTTATACAAGTATACTATATACGCATTACGTATATCCGGTCATCCACTTGTATTATTTCGTTTGTTTTTTTAACTTTCATTTATACGACTAGTTCGTACAATTATATTCACACATTCATCCAATGGGCGTTTTATGTATATACCTATGTAAATAGGCTGCTCTAAGTCCGGTCGTTTGGCCTTAATGGTACAACCCCTTCAATAATACTATATATTATATCTCTGTAGGTCATCGACCTTTTTACCTATCGATTTAATTTCACAAACGCGTTGTTCTCCTTGTTCTTGTCAAAGTTCATTTATGTGTATAATCGTTTTAGAAGAATAAAAGAAAGAGATGACGACGAGAAGAACGTAAACCAACTGTTATTGGAAGGAACACGCGCGATACTAGAGCGGCAAACCGTTCTCTCCTTGGTATTATATTGATCTACCTGTTTCAGCGTTATATACCTATGTAGTGGACTGCTTCCTTCACAGTCTTGAACAATCTTCCACCGTGAGACGATCTCACCTTTACTCGTGTTTTCGATTCAATATCGATTCATTGCGCTCGTTTTACTTTTTGTGACGGCTCGTACGTTTTCTTATCGCTGATACTTACCTCAACTCGTTATTTATATTACTTCCGATAAAAGCTATTTTTATAGAAAATATTAGGAATACTCCTTTTTTCGTTTGTTTAAAAATGCATTCCTACAACAATCAGCCATATATCGTTTTTGATTATGTCAAATATTCAATAACTATCATGTATTTCAATGACTTTTTTCTCTCGAAAAAAATTGAGAATGGTGTATATATAATTAATCAAACATATGTTTATCATATCTAGGATATATTTTATGATTTTAATGATAATCATTTCAATAAATTATTACTATTCGACTGTTGAGATTTTTTATGCTTGTTTATAACCTTTAAACGAAGCGTTGCATCATTGATCCGTATAAAACGACTTTACCATTTATGGGAAATATCGTTTAATAATGCTCGTTAAAGAATAACTTAGAAGAAGAAATAAAGCAATACTGAAACTCGATGTTTCGCAATTATATTATGTTTGATGCGACTTGACTTCGTCGGGCTAAATAAATATATTTTGTTGTATCTATAACTCAAGGTAACACGGTGGTTTGGAAAAAGAATAAGGTCTACATTTTTGATATCTGAAATATATTTCCAAAGTATGGATTATATGTTAAGTTCTATTTTGCACTTGAAATTACTATAGGTAACCGTTCAGAAGATTGCACATGTTTTTTTTTTGATCCGTCTCGAAATGAGATTGGAAATTCGATGTATTTCGTTTAACGATGTACTTCGATAAATTTCGTAGAAGAAAAAATCAATCGAATCAGATTAAACGATCCTGATATTCATCGATCTAAAAAAGAATGTCACAATGCTACAGCGTCCCTTTATTGTCCAACGTCGCATCTAAGAGTTTTGAATTGCATATTCAGGATGGTTAGTAATTAGTCCAATTGCCAATTACTTTATTACGAGTTCTTATTCTCTCTCCTAGTATACGTATTCGAAATTATGCTACGACTCAATTTCTTGAATTTCAATTAACTCGTTCTATAATTTATATCCAACTATCTATGATCAACGATATCGATTATAAATGGATTGATTGAAATCGATCGACTATACTTATTATACGTATACTCTTATATTTTCTATAAAATTTTTAGGTAATCCAAGAAATAAGACAGCCTTAGCACCGGGTCATAGTGTCATGGACTGGATTCGATTAGGTAATTCTGGAGTCGACTTAACCGGAGTTGGTGGTATTCCACGTACTGTCACGTTAACCGAGTTGGCTAATCATAATAAGCAAAATGACGCTTGGATCGCAATAAGAGGTACAAAGTGTACTAATGCTAATCGACATTCATATGTAAATATTTGCGCTTAATAATTTCCTTTTCTTTTTTTTTTCTTTTTTTCTTTTTTTTTCCTTTAATTTAGGTATCGTTTTCAACGTAACCCGTTACATGGATTTTCATCCTGGCGGAATCGATGAGCTAATGAAAGGAGTTGGAAAAGATGCTACGAAATTGTTCGATAACGTAAGGCCATCCTAACGAAGTAATATTATCAAACGCGTATATATTCCTTATTGAACGATTATCATTCCCGAGGCACCCATAGATCGTTCGTTACAGGTTCACGCGTGGGTAAATTATCAAAGTCTTCTACAGAAATGCGTCGTAGGTAGACTGAGTCGTCCCTCCACTTCGAACCTGTCCAAGGCGAATGAAAAATCTTCCATTGCGAACGACGTCTCGAAAAGTTGCACAAGTAATATGCAATTCACCGATGATGTATTTAAATATTCTTATCTTCCGTAATGTTTATTCTTTTATAACGTTATGTTTATTTTTCAGCGCAAAGAAAAAGCGAAGAAGAAATCGGTTTTGATCTTTCGAAAATGAAGATGGATTGGCGGCAAACTTCGAACACGATAACGCTTTTTTATCAAGCGATAAACGACTATCAAGGTATCTACTATCGTATATCAAGGATAAACGATGCCAAGCTCGTTTTTAATCTCTCCTTTGAAAAGGATATCGTTATACACGAACTCGAGTTGGCCGGGGAAATCGAATGGCCACCTGCGTGGAATAGAAACTATGAAAGCATGGAAGTAAGTCAATATACTTTCACCTGATAATTATGTAGTAATTTTGATTCTCTTTATTGCAGGTAGACTTTACCTTCAGGAAAAAGGATAAAACTTTATGGAAAACTCAAGGTAATCATACCTTGTCCAGAGAACCAATAACCAACAAGAGGACTTACAAAGAATACGAGGTATTAAGTAACACGTCCCTTTGTAAATTAGTTCACCTGTTGGTTCTACGAGCTAAAGATTCTTTAGAATTAATACCAATTGGTAGGCACCTGGAAGCAAAAATTAAAATCGCAGGTGAGCGAAATTGCTTGTTTGCTGCTGTTAAATTTACATATATATATATAATTGTTTTTCTTCTTTTTTTTTTTTCTTTTTTTTTTTTAACTCATCATAGGTGTTGAGATTTCTAGATATTATACACCTGTACCACCCTGTCTTCATCCAGAAGACATGGCACCGAATTATACATCAGATTGTATCTGTCTCATGATTAAACAATACGAAGACGGTGCTCTCAGTCCATCCATAACAGCTTTAAATGCCAAAGAAAAGCTTACTTTGAGCAACGGGCTTGGTGTCTTTGTCGTCGAATCCTTTGATCGTTATTCCGTCGTTCATATGTTGGCTGCTGGCACAGGACTAACGGTAATGTTAGGAATAATTCAACGATCTCTTGCTAGGCGTAACGTGTAAGTATTCGATTATATTCATTCGAACCGCGTTTGATCTCTCTTTTCGTATAAAAGATTTATTCTCATGTAAAATACTTTTATATCTATCATCATTCTGTTGTAGAAAAAGTATCAATCTCGCCAACTTCAATAAAGACGAAGATAACATGTTCTATGTGGAGCAATTGGAGAGAGCTTGCAAGGCAAATAAGTTAGTATATATATATATATGTATATATATACTTATATCGATGAAGTTGAAATTTCTGTTCATTAATTCCGTTTGTTAATTTTATTCAACATTTTTTTTTAGATTGAAAGTTACGCATATTTTGTCGCAACCAAGCGATTCCTGGAAAGGTAGACGTGGTACGATATCTGATGAACTTTTGAATGAATTAATAGGCAATTGTTCACCGCATAGTTGTGTCTTCGTTTGTGGCCCTAAGGGATTCCTAGTTTCTTCAAGAAAGTGAGTTCTCTATATGTACAATAATTAAATTCCCTTATCACATTGACGTCATTGATATTTTAGATGCCTTCGTAATCTTGATTGGAAGGCCTATCAAATGTACGAGTTCGACGATTAAAATCATCTTAAAACTCGTTTATGTTTTAAGCTTGATCGATGAAGAAAGCTGAAAAAGTCTGCGTTTAATTATTTATTATATAAATTCTCTCTACGAGTAGTCGAATATTGGGATATTGGGAAAGTTATATATTATCCATCCCATATGAAACTATTACACAAATAATAGAGCTTATTATTCTGAATAAGAAATTCAGTTGATATACAAAAAGGGATACGCTTGAAAAAGTACTTGTTGAAAGATTAAACCAAACTTAATTATAGGAATTTTGCCTGCCTTATATGAGCCGGTTTAGTACAAAAAAGAAAAAAAAAATTTTTTAAAGTCTCTCATTCGGTCATTATTGTACATCATTAATATTTGCCAAGAGAATTGCGAATGAGATACGTTATTTTAAATGTTCGTACTTAGATTCGATATATGTATAGATTTAGAAGAATATTTGTATTTGAAAAGTATATTGATTACATTTTCAAGAGAAGATTATTTATAATCTTCTAATTATCTTATCTCACGTATATCAATGTTAAGCAAATTTTATTACAATTATTACTTATATTTTATTAAGTCTGTAAGTGCTCTACTATCGTCGTCGTTAACAATACTTCCATCCATATCTGTCCTGTCTTAAGCATTTATATACTATAAGTGGAAAAACGTATAGAATATTTTTTTCTATATTTTAAAAATAACATCTAAGTTTAACGTAAACAAATTCTTTGGCTACATTCCTCTTATCTAAAATCTATTGTAAGTTTTATCAATGATATGCCATCCTCTTCGAAGTACCGTTTTATTAAACAATATTTTTACACTACGCAAAAGTAACCGACTATGAATTATAATAATCTATAATTCAATCTTAGCTGTGATTAAAACGAATTACATTAATGTGATCCATTATCAAAGAAAGTCTTTAAAGTAAACAAATCTAATGACGAAGAGTATTATACAGCATTAACGCGATATTTTTGGATTTGTAAAGTGCGAAGTACAACAGATTTTTTGCGAGACTACTATTACATAATTTTCTGTTAATTACTTCGAGTATGGATGATAATTAATATGACTCATTGTAAATAACAAAAATAGAATCATCGTACTTTATCGACAAAAAAAAAAAAGAACAAAGAATTATATCACATCCAGTATTTGACATTTCTTGAAAATATTAGCTCGTAAGAACTGTTTGTACTATAAATTCACATATCGTACGGTCCAGTTTAGGTATTTTTATGAGTTTAATGACATTATATGTGTATACGATTCTTATAGAAAATAAAAATGTACTCGATAGTCTAACATTTATTTATACATCGTCCATTCATTTCCCCTCCTCCTTTCACAATTAATTACAGTGTACGAAAATTGCGATCGAAGAGTATACTTGCAGAGATCTTGTTTATCTCGTACCGTATCAAAGCGTACTACTGTTTGTTGGTCTCTCGATGCTACCACATGTATACTTTCTATTAAATTCTCAAAAAGTACAAAATAAAAGAGAAAATAGAGAGAATATTCATTAACGTAAAGAACATTACAAATGCAGGTGAAAACGATCGATAAATAGCAAATATTGCAGCGTAGTAATGAAAATGCGATAAATTTGGATTTGTACAATTGAATTGGTTCAAAAAATCGATTGATTATGATTTAGTATTTTACAGAAAGGGAAGAGAGAGAGAGAGAGAGAGAGAGAGAGAGAGAGAGAGAGAGAGAGAGAGAGAGAGAGAGAGAGAGAGAGAGAGAGAGAGAGAGAGAGAGAGAGAGAGAGAGAGAGAGAGAGAAAGGGAAGAGAGAGAGAGATAAAGAGAGAGAGAGAAAGAGAGAGAGAGAGAGAGAGAGAGAGAGAGAGAGAGAGAGAGAGAGAGAGAGAGAAACTCTGTTTAAAGACATTTCGCGGGATAGAAAAAATACATGTATAGTTTTCTCTTTTTCTCATTCCGGCAAGAGGGAAAACTTTTCATAAGCGTGAAACTTTCACGGCCGAGTTAATTTTCCGGTATGGCTATATACATAAATATAACACACACGCGTATACAGAGACGACACATACGCGTCTACACAGTGATTATTGATCGTCGTAACTTCTTTTTCCCGCAATATGACGTAACGAGAACACCGGTTGGGCAAAGACGAATGTCTTTTGGCTTCGCGTTGGTAAAAGAAGAAAAATGCGTTGCGGCTTCGACAGCAAAAGTACCAGTAGGATCATTTATGTCGATTATACGCCGCAACATCTTTTCTGCCGCGCTTGGCCTTGAGGATCTAGACGATCATCGGACGAGAGAATGATATAACCGATAAATAGAGGAACTAAAATGCAATTTGTAAAATGTCATGTTTTCTGACACATAAAACTTTGTTGAGTATCTACAAATAGAGTCTAACGAGTCAACGATCAAGAGAGGCGTTTCTTGAAATAATGATGAAGATGAGGAAAGTCATGAAGGATCCTTCCTTAAGAGGGATCTTTCGATTCGAATTAAGAGCCTTCCTTTCCTTCGACTCCTTTCTCTTAGATTTCATTATCGTTCGCCGAATTATTCTAATAATCTACCAGGCGCGCTGGAACTAAAATGAATTAGAGAAGTTTCCCAGACAAAGTTCTATGCTTAATTTTTTCTTAAAAGAACAAGAGAGAGAGAGAGAGAGAGAGAGAGAGAGAGAGAGAGAGAGAGAGAGAGAGAGAGAGAGAGAGAGGGAGAACGTTTCTAATCAAACCGTCGCTTCAAAAGATTTTCTTATGCATTATGAATTATAATAAATGACGCTGTGCTGTTAATAATTAGTTTACATAATTCATTATTCGATAACAATTGTTGAAGGCTATCAATATATATGTATGTATGTAACGTTATCGGACTATGATGCTTTTCACTTAAAAATCTATAGCGTGACGCTCTTCCGTTCCGTTGCATAGCGTTGGTTGGTGCCGATTGAAAACTCGCGAAGGAATAACAATGGTTGAGATTTTTTTCTCGAGGCCAAGATATTTCCCACTATCGAGATTTTTTCTACTCCTGCTATACTTTCTTTCTTTTTTTTTTTTTTTTTTTATTTTCTAACGAGAGAGAGAGAGAGAGAGAGAGAGAGAGAGAGAGAGAGAGGGAAAAAGAGAAAGAAAGAGAAATGATTAAAAGAACTTTTCTATACGATATGCACGGTTTCGAATCAGCTTCCAAGTGAAACTCGTTCGGCGTTTGTTTGCCTGGCTTATTCGTGAGTGAAATCTAAATACGATGTATAATATATGTACGTGGTATACATGCGAACAACTTGCAAACATAGAGATATATATGTTTACTATTTTCTACCTTATCATCGCGCATGCAAATGGCGAAACATAATACTATTTACAAGAGAATTAATCCTGGTTTCTGTTCGGCCAGCATCACCGCTGGACCCATGTCGAATACTGTCTTTATCGATCGAACAATGCATCGCAATGCGGTGAATGGTGCTTAAGCATTGTTCAAGTCTTGGAAGAGAATATCGATCGTTTCTATTCTTCTATCGTGATTAAGATAGTACATCCACCTCTTTTTTTTTTTTATGCGGAAGTAACTTTCGAAAGATAGATAGAAAGTGAGATAGAGATAGAGACAAAAAGATGAAAAATCAGAAGTAAAGAAAATGTTATGGATACTTTCTCGCATAATAAGATGGAATAAGAGTAGATAGAGTAAATATAAAACCCGACCTTTCCTTCTTATCTCTCTCTCTCTCTCTTTCTCTCTCTCTTTTCTTAGCATCCAAATATAAAGAAGTATCCCTTTGCCGTTCGAGCCGTTTTTATGAAAGTCTGTCTCCTCTTTTTTTTCTTATTTTTCTTCCTTTCTTTTATTTTTTTTTCTCTTTTCTTTTTCTTCTTGCACCTTTCATTATGCTACATTACGCGTTACGCCTGAGGACGGAAGATGCATCCTTAACTCGTTTTCTCTCTCTCTCTCTCTCTCTCTCTCTCTCTCTCTTTCTCTCGCTTTTCTTAAGAAGAAAGGCTTTTATTTAACGGAAAGCGTTAATTTCATTTTCCGGCTCGAAAAACGAGTCCTTCGTTTGCTTTCCGTTTTCTCCCACTTCTTTTTATTTTTCTCTATTAAAAGCGCGAACTAGGTAATCTCAATGGATATCAATGTTCCGTCGAAAACGTGATCGATAATTAATCAAATGGATGTGCGCTCTGCCACAATCTCTTGTCATTTTTTTAATCCACTTAAAAAAGCAGCAACGGCTAGTAGAGTGTTGTTATTCAATTGGTTATAGTTTGCTTTTGTGTCCTGTCCGAAGGTGATTTTTTTTTTTTTTTTTTTTTTTTTTTTTTTTTTTTTTTTTTTTTTTTTAAGGGATGGAGGAAAATTGATATAAGGGATCGAGGAAGGCCAAGAAGAAAAGCTTCTTTGACGCGGCATCTAATCCTAATCTCCTTTTAAATCTATCATAAGTCGTACGACCTCGCGCGCGTCTTGGATTTACGAGGTTCGCTCACGGACGTTCTAAGTAAAAAGAAAAAAGAAGAAAAGAAAAGACAGAAGTAGAGTTAAAAGAACACGGTCACGTGGCACCGTGATTGGATAAATTAAAGAGCTCGTATTTTTTTTTATCGAATTATTTATCCACGAGTAAAAAGAAATATTTAATAAAACAGGAAAAAGAAAACGGCGTAATCAAATGGTTTTCGGACATCTTTACGTTTCTTTCCGAGATAGTACGCCACTGCGTATTACTATGTAATTTTTGTAAATTTTAACTTGTTTTTATTTTTCTTTTTTTCTTTTTTTTTTTTTTTCTTTCTCTCGCATATTTAGCAACGGTTTATTAAGATTAATCGATTCTCAAAAGAATGTTCGTGACATGGCACGCGATGACGAAGAGAGGAACGTCGGTGATTTTCTCGCAATTTTTCAACGTGTATCGTGGGTACTGTTAGCAGAAAGAGAAAAAAAAAATATAGGCAAAGGCGCGGAGCTTCAAATTCATTTTCTTCATTAATTACGAAACCGTGCTGACGACGTTTTTCAAACATTCTACGAATACCGCATGTTTCCCATCTCTTCGTTTTCAAATTATTTTCGATTCTACTTCACTCAGTCTCTTATTCTCTTTTTCTACTTTGCGTGGATATTATTTTACGAGAACGGAAACGGAAGATGTTATGCAAGAGCGATGAATATATAGGATAAATATACATATTTTAATGATAAGCAGCCGTAAACTTTGTATATTTGTTTTTCCTTTGAGAAAAAGTTTAAGTAAATAGGCAAACGTGTGAATATTTATCGATCATAATTAATTCCTTTAAGTATGTTAATCATTATTTTTTTTTTTTCTGTTTGCTTCCTTTTTCTTTTTCATTCGAAGAAGGAAAATAGAATTGATTTGAAAATCCTTAATAATTATTCTTTAGTCAAGGAACGGAAACAATGTCGTAATTCGCATCAACGATCGATTTTTTTAATCCCTTTCCAATCCTATCCATTTCTCGCGCTTCATCCTTTCATGAATAGTAATGCGTTCGATAATGAATAAATCCGAGAAACAAAATGTGTTGCGCGTGGGTGTCGATGCGAGAAATAAATAACGATCTTCTACAGTGGGCTGTATAGGACAAAGAAAAATAGAAAAAAGAGGAAAGCAAAACAAGTAAAATTCATTCAAGGTTCGTTTAGGCGAATGGTGTTAATGAACGAACGGGGATGCGTCGAATCCAAATCCATTTGAGATTCTCTCGTAAGCTAAGTTTTAAGCTTACGACTGATAGAAGAGAGGAGAGATTTCGTTTCCTAGTATTCACGTTTCAATTAGAGATTCCGATGCTTGAGTATATTTCAGTCATTTTAACGTCCCTTTACATCTTCTCGAATTCGTCAAGAGTACGAGCGTTCTTTTTTTTTTTTTTTTTCAATGGACGCGTTACAATGAAGTTGTTGGAAATTTGAAACACATACAATGAGAAATGGATGATGAAAAAAAAAATCGAACACTCGTTATTTCCCCATCATCAAATTCTCGTTAATTCTCGTTGGGACAAAGGTGATCTATACGATTCGAAAAAAATAGAAAAAGGAAAAGAAAAGATGGAGTGGGTGAAAAGAAAAGGGCGATATGCGTGGTTGAAGGGAAGGGAAGTCAAAGAAGTGAAGTAGGAAGGGAAAAGATAAGGGTGAGAAAATCAGAACAGAATAGAACAGAGCAGAGCAGAACAGAGCAGAGCAGAGCAGAGCAGAACAGAGCAGAGCAGAGCAGAGCAGATCAGAGCAGAGCAGAGCAGAATAGAGTAGAGTAGTATAGAGAACAGAACAGAAGAGAAGGGGAGCGGAAAGAGTCAGGGGTGTCGCGGGGGGTGCCGATGTATCCGAGGGGGAAGCTTAAGCATAGGGATGCTGTGGGCAGAGAGCTGTTTCAGTCGCGCGACGGCTCTCGCCCCGGCCAGTCGATCGAGCTCTTGCACAAAAGGGAGAGAGATACACGTTTCTCTCTCTTTCTCTCTCTCTCTTTCTCTTTTTCTCTCTCATTCTTTCTCTTTTCGTCCTGTTTGCTTCTTTCTTCTCCAATAAATTTTTCCTTGAAAAATAGTTAATTATATCGTGAGATGAAAAATCATTCTTTTGTCATTAATGAACATTTTTTTCGAGACTAATCACATCGAACAAAAAATGGTGTTTCTCGGTGTACGATCATTCTTTAACGCGGGACGGCTGATATTTGGAGGATAGATCGGGAGAGGAAAGAGAAAAATCCTCCAACCACCTGTGTTTCCAGGACAAACGCGCCAAGGATGTCGCTCGTGTTGGCTTCGATGTAGTTTACCTATATCTCTTCCTGGATTAAAGGATACGCGGATTAAGGATTTTCACGTACGTATCCTTGATTTTCGAATATAAAATAATTAAATTTAAGAGAGATTATTCGTATATGGACGATAATATTTTCAATTTGTGAATACAAAGTGCATCCGTTTGACATTATGATTGCTATCTGATTTTTTTTCTTTCTTTTAAAAAATTCTCGTATACTTTTTCAAGAACAATCGATTTTGTTTTGTAAGCAAAGATCTCATAGTATTTACGAGAGAAAGGTGGAAAAAATAGCGTGGAGTATGAAAAAGCGTATTTTCGCGGTTAAAAGACTCGCGAGGGAGGAACGAGAGAGAGGGTGTAAGAGAGAGAAAGAAAGAGAGAAAAAAAGAGGGAGAGAGAGAGAAAGAGAGAGGAGAGAAGCAAGATGCGGGACGAAAAGTGACGCGTCACATGGAACGGTTGCTGCGTTGGATCACTGGCGCTCTTCTTCTCCCTCGTTACCTCTCGACAAGCTCGAACCTTGATTGTTGTTTCCGTCGTTGTTGCGGTTGCTGCTCGCTTTTTCTTTTAACGTGAGAAATGTTGCCCTTCCCTCCTCCTGTTTTTTACAGTAAAATCTTTTTACGAACCTTTCAATGGTTGTCGCGGTTTCCGTGTCTATTGTAAAGGTATTGCATTTGTCTACGTTTGCGAACATTTCTATGCAGAATTTCTATACATTATCGACTTTGTAATTCCATATTAACAGACTGGACCTAACGAAATTTCATTAATATTAATCATCTGTGCATGTAACTATTTTAGAAGAGCATAGAAGCGCGAATTCGTATTTTCTGATCGCACATACATACGTTTCGGAAATTATTTTACCATCCGGTTAAATATTTCACTTTGAACCGTTTTCCCGTTGGTTCCTATCTTTTATTCGCAAAATACCGTTTGCCTCTCTTCTTGCAACGGAGTCCTGTATTTTATCGAGAAACAATCCTATACCACGGGTAATAATATTCTCTATCGGTTGGTGCGAAATTAGCTCGCAACAAATCGCAGGTAGAGCATATATATATATACACACACACACATATATATATATATATCGAACGATTAACTTATCGTCTCGTTAATTTAATTTCCCCTTGGCTTTATGGTTTCATTAGAAACCGTGATTAATTAGTATAGCATCATACCTGCTGGATATTGTAGGTTAATTACGCGCTCTTGGCATAATATTGGCGTCTATCTACGGACGTTCTCCGCCTCTTAGTTATCAGGGAGACTCAATCGGGAAAGCCGATTATGCATTTCTGCTTTTCGCACATTTATACTGGAAACTTCCTTAGGCTTTCGTGACAATGAAATCGTTACGTTAACTCTTGCCGATGCTCTCGCATACTTCGAGAACGAAAAATCTCTTTGGAAGGTGGTGGATCGATCGATTTATAGATCGATCGGATAAATCGATCGAAAGTAAAGCCTCCTCCATCTAAAGCGCGTTACATTAGCAATCCGAGCGTTGCAGAGTTCGTTCGTGTAAACTAGGTCGAGAAACGTTTGATTGTTTGTTCCGTGCTCGAAGTCGATTTCGAAAGCTGATACAAATATGCTTCTGCAATGGGAAGAGAAGCGCGAGAATTGAAATTTCGACTTCAAAGTGCAGAGTATACGTAAGAGGTCGAAGACCGCGAATGCGTTTTCGCAGTTGAATTGATTGTAAGGGAAAAGAAAAACTTTACGAGAAATATAAATAATTCCAAACGTGTTTTATCGATTTTAAATTAGCACAGAAAAATAAAGAAAGAAAACGTCGAAGAATTGAAGTTTTCTCGATAGAAAAAGTCAAGAGAGAGAGAGAGAGAGAGAGAGAGAGAGAGAGAGAGAGAGAGAGAGAGAGAGAGAGAGAGAGAAAGAGAGAGAGAGAGAGAGAGAGAAAGAGAGAGAGAGAGAGAGAGAGAGAAAGAAGAGGTGTAAACATCGACGTTTCAAGAGACAACGTTCGCCACTAATCATATTTCCTCAACCCCTTCCCACTCTCCGTGTCCTTCCAGTAATTAGATAACGTAAATTTGCACTATGTCGATACGAAGATAGAGCAGGGAAAGAGAGAAAGAGAGAGAGAGAGGGGGGGAAGGAGGGAGGAATAAAGGGATAAAGTGGACAGTAGCTCTTGAATCGCCAACTCGCGCATATATCGAGGCTCGATTTCTCTCCAGTCTACTTTTTTGCCTTCTTTTTTCTCCTGGTTTTCTCGTGACGACGCGTAAAGCGTAGCTCGGTCATCGGCTATCGATTAAAAGCTACGCCGCGTGAACTTTGTCGTGGGTACTTTGATGGAAAGGAAATTAATGAATCAAAATTAACAGCACACGAGAAGAAGGATTATCGATTGTCGAGTGATATTTGAGAATTGAAAGAACATATTGCCCATGATCCACTCTTGTTTCTCTCTCTCTCTCTCTTCATCTTTCTTGTTTACTCATAAAAATGGAATCCGATCCGGACATGGATGCATATTTACTCGTTTAATCGATAACTTCTCATGTTTTCCTTCGTTTTAACTTCCCCTATTCGTTTATCGTGTTAAGGGGCGAAGGATCAAGATTAAAGCTTTCCAAAAGATTCCACTAAGATCTTTTTTGAGATAAATAAAACGTTAAAAAAATATCCATCGTTTCGTTCGGTCGCGTATGAAAATGTGTAAAAGTTATGACTAGAGGAGTACTTTATAAAGACGACAGTTGTCTCTCGATTTGAGAGATTTTCTTTCTTTCAAGTACGATTCACTCTTTTCTCAACTCATTTTCACCAAGTGTTCTTGAAATTTTGCGTATTCCATAGCATTAGGTTCGTTCAGTGAATGCAACAGAGATCTGGTAAAAGGTAAAATTCAAAAAAAAAAAAAAAAAAAAAAAAAAAAAATGAAACTTCTTTGAAAGTTCCGAAGAAGAATGAGGAGAAGAAAATAGCGGAACCATGCGAAATATCGTCTCGAATTTAAAGTAGCATTAGATCGAGCAAATTCGCTTCTTTTTTAATATACCCTTTTAATATACTTCAACTAGATGCAAATAAACGTCTCGACGAGTTCTCATTGCGATATAACGATATAATAATTCTTATCTCTAATTGGCGAATCACTGAAGACTAATACATTTTTCTTTTGTGAAAAAATTCTCGCAGTGGGAGCGCGTGTAATAAAAAAAAAAAGAAAGAAGAAGAAAGGGGGAAAAAAAAAGAAATAAAAAGAAAGAAAGAAAGTAAAAGTTGGAAATACAAAACGAGGAAAAATTTGAGAAAGGGCTTTTTTCTTCTCGCTCATAAGTAAGAAAGGTAACATTGCCGTTATAGTTGTTCGTGAAACGGATACTCGAAGAGAAATGAGAAACATTTTCCTCGGAGAGAAATGCGTTTTCTTACTTGTTCGTGTCGCCTTCGCAAGTTTTAATGACCGTGGGAAGTGGCATCTTAAAAAGGGTTGTAGCGTTTTCACGCGAAGAGGCCAAATCTTGTTGCGCAGCTTTTTACTTTTTGACGGATTTAGCGTGTGTTATTTCCACGCGTCCATCATCACGAACCACTAATCTTTTGATCCCTGAACGAAAAAGATATAAAAAGAGAGAAAATCTTCGTTCCAGTTCGATGAAGAATACTTGGACGTGATAAAACAATCGAGAAGTAGCAACACCTCAAAAAATATTTCCTTCCTTTCATCGTTTTTTCCTCCTCCTCCTCCTCCTCCACTTTTCTATTTCTTCTCGAAATCTTACCCAGGGAATATACATTTTCCTTTAATCGCTTTTAGAATGTATTTCCTACTAGTTGCGGTAAGCTACGGTATAAGTTTTAACGACTACGACGACGACGACGACCACGACGACGACCACGACGACCACGACGACGACGACGACGACGACGACGACGACGGAGAAAGCAACGTCTTGAATCTTGTCTTAAAATCTCGACGATCTCTTCTGCTCCTTCTTCATCTTCTTTGTTTTCCTTTTTCTCCTCTTCCTTCTCTTCCTCCTCTTCGTGTTCTCCTTTCGCTTTCCGGCAAATAATAGACGTTGCAAGATGTAGCGATAATACAGTAAATACGCTTGGAAGGGAACTGTCGAGGTCTCTTATCATTTCTCATCGTGGTCCAAAGGGATAGCAAAGAGAAATGATTAAAAAGGAATCGTGTTCAGGACCTGAGTAAATATCTCGACCTAACTCTATTGCATCCTTCGTCTTCTTCCTTCTGCACTTCCTTAGGCGACACGAAAAGCAAAGACCGATCTCGTTTTCTTTTTTCCACATTAATGAACTTAACGAGTGACTCCAAGGAGCTTCTCGAGTGGCTCTTTCTCGACTGTAAACGCAAGCTTTACGAGCGTCTCTTCGTCGAACGAACGAACAGAGCTTCGATTCTACAACTATCAAAGTTCTCCTTTCGCTTGCTTTCTCTCTTTCTTTCTTTCTTCCTTTCTTCCTTTCTTTTTCATTCTTCTCATTCTCCTTGGTGTAAATCGTGGATCTTGCAATGTCTTTTCATCGTTTCATCTCCCTCCGGTATGGTATATACGAGGAAGAACATTCAAAAACGCGAATCTCTATGGGAAGAATCAAGATCAAAGCTCTTTTCAAAATTTCGATCATAACTGAAAGCTGTGAACTATCTCTAGGATGATGATGCTTTAACGAGTCGGGTGAGTTTCTAACGCCTTTCGTCGTGCTATATAAACTCTCGTTAATCTCTTGCATTATTATTACAATTAGAGCTTAGGAGAGTTTCTTATTTATAAACTTTAATTATAAGATTATATCTAGTAAGAAACATCGACTAATAAATTTATGATCGAATTTTACAACGTGAAAGTATCGCAAAAAAAAAAAAAATATAAAATAAATTAAAGAAGGTAGCTTCTCTTTCTTGCTTTCCTTTATCGTTTGGAATATTTTAAGTAATGACACGTGACTGTTAATTCAGCGCATAATTTTTTTCTTCTTTTCTTTTAATCCTTCTCCTGTAATTAGCCTGTCTTTTCTTGTCGTCGTCGTACGATCTCCAAACGCTGGGATCTTTCGCCTCGAACGCATACATATAATTATCTGAAATACGATCCACCTACTTACTGCTACGTGACATAATTATCGTATCTCCTTCGAACTTGAAATCCAGTCGATCGCAAGTCGAGTAATCGTGCCGTGAAATATCGATTAGTACGAAGCTAACGATATCGTTTCTATTTTTCTTCTTGTCGGACGAAGAATATCTATAGCAAATTTTGAATTTGTAAGGAGCATTAAGTCGCACGTAATATCGCGCATTGCGTCTTTCGGTTTTCAGAATGAAAGAAGGCTAACAGTAAATACATAGTTCACGCAGTATCGTGTTCTCGTCTTTAAAAATGCAGTTACATTTCTCAGAGCATACCGTCAACGGCGGCATTAATTTTTAATTTTTATACGGCGTAGCCTTTTCTCTGTCCTACCAAAGTGTTGACAAGATGATAAAATAAACGTTAATCGGAGTACCTTGCTCTACGGATCGCGTGCCCGAATAAACTGTGGAAAGTTAGATAGAGAAGCGATAATTTAGCGGTTCTCAAAGGGATCAACGTTTATAATTTGTTCGAGCGTAGAGAATCCGCATGAGCGTTTAAATTATCCGTACGAGTACTGGTAATATGGCATCCGTTAATTCGTCAGTTTATATCCCTCACGTTAATTATACTCGCTCTTCTCGAAAAGGAACATTTCTTTGACGAAGAAATTAAGAGAAATTCTTTCATTCCATTTCGGTGAACGGTCGAAATAGCACAGCTGGTATCGATCGTATGTGTCACGCGTAATTACAAGAGGTCGAAGGGTTTCTTTCACGGCCGTGAGAGATCGTGTCAACGACGCAACCAACGTTGCCTCTATAGACTATACGTGCTAATTGCCTTATCAATTTACGCAATGTTTGCACATAAAGGAAACTGTACGTATCTGCATTCACCGTCATCATGTTCCTATTACCACAGATACATTACATTAATTATGATATCAGGTATTATCGATTTGTCCGCGGGGATATGACCGATTTTCCACTTTCAAGCACTTTACCAGTTACGAATGAATCGATGATTCCCTTCTTTCTTTCTTCCTTTCTTCCTTTCTTTCTTTTTTCTCCTTTTTTTTCCAATCGATTTGCCGCAGGATACGCTTCGAGATTAAAGAAAGCACTCTATGCTTTTTTTCACGTCGCGATACTTTCGAGAAAATGCTGAAAGATGCGAAAGGGCTTAGTTAAATTGCAACTGAAAACTCGAACCAGATAGAAAATATTGAAATTGTTATTTCAGCTTAACGCGTCGCTCTTGCGTATGATTGGCTTCTGTTGAAAAAAGATATGAAATTGAAAATACGAACGTTGCTAATATTTAAAATATGAAAGAATTTCGAATCGTTCTAAATAAAAAATTTTTCATCTCCAGTGCGTTTCTTCAAAAGAATTATAATAAATTTATCTGATCTAATTATATATATATAAATACGGTTAGCTATGTTCAAAAGGAAAATATTTTATAGGCACACTGAGATATGCAGCCATTAGCCCGGCAGTACTTGCGTAACAAGATTTATAATTATATTTCGATAAATCGCAAGTAATACCGACACAGATCTCACCACGTGAAGGTTGCTGCATGTGGAGATCCACGGACTAATAACATACTAATTAATCGTGTTTAATGAACCTTCCTTCGACCCGGTCAAGTCGATCGAGGGTGCATCGAACGCGACTTTGCTCTGACCTACCCGACGCGGTAAAAAGCATGGATATAATTAATTATTATTAAGTATCTATATTAAAAGTGCAGAAAACACTTTCTCTCTATCTCTATATAAAACTATAATTAATTATCATAATTATTACATACAGTTTGCATATTCCCGGGTATATACAAAGTATATGTATTTTATAATCGTAATAATAAACTAAATAACTAAATCTAAGATAAATATAATTTGTATTAACAATATATATATATATATATTTATATTGTATAATTGAATTTTATATATAAACTTAATTTAACTTAAATCATCAATTTTTAATTAAAACTAACATATTTCCAACTATTTTCATTGATCGCATTATTAAATAAGAAATTAGAGATTTTTTTAAAATTAATTAAAATGACTGGAAATATGAAAAAAGCTTTTCATAAATAATTATCATTTTATTAATAGTATTTATCTATGAATTAACCAATAGAGTTCCATGCTTTTTAAACTATCTTAATATCTAAGCAGCAGATAATCGACCGATCTGCTATTATCACCTTAAAGTAACCTTAAAAATAACTTAACCTTAAAACTAGAATTCTTAATAGTACTATTAAGGTATGAACGTGCTTAAGCGTAAAAATATAAGGATAAGCATAAATAAAAAGCTGAAGCATAAGAACTGCAACCTGCATCATGCCTTATAACTATATTCTTATAAATTAACATGCAATGTAAAAACAAAAACATGTTTAAAGAATAACCTTACTAAAAAATATACCAATTTGCAAGATAATGCACATATAATACAGTATAATATGAAAATATAGTTAAAATTAATTACATATCATTTTATCAGCATAACAGTGTTCAAATTTGCTATAAATTTTTTTAATGGCTTTTTCTATATTCAAGCACGCATTTTAATCGTCAGCAATCTGAAAAATAAAAAATATTATATATTATTAATTAACTATGATATAATAAAAAATAAATGGTACAAAATTGTATAAATGCAAGAATGTGGCAATTTTAATCTATCTTTTTGTCGATATTATTAATGTAAAGAGTAAACCAAATCTATTCCACAATTGAGATAAAATATCTGAAATATATAGTATAAATAATTAAACATTTGATTAATAAATGTTATTTCAGTATTAAATGTTGAATTTATTACTAAAGTAAAAAATATTGCGAAGTTAATGAATTTTAAATTTAATGAAGTAAAGGATTTTAATAAATATAAAAAAAAAGCTTCGGTACATCTCAAAAATATATGAAATTAAATTCATTATTAAAAAAAAAAAAAAAAAGAAAAATTGTAAATAATTTTATTTTGTGTTTTCCTTCAGAAATATATATATATATATATATATATATATATATATATATATATATATATATATATATGAAATTTTAAACAGCAGCCATTTTAACCACTATCTACCTGAAACAGAAAGAAAATGTATTAGTCATACGATATTATAATCCAATAAATATTTAAACGAGCATGCACATTTGCTTGACATGCCAATATGCAGATGCACTTTTCAATTTAATTCCCTGTCTATTTCTATCAATAAGATAAAATTTTAACGCGCGTGATTTTGCGTTAGAACGTTTAATATTAACGCAATTAAGAAATCTGAAAAAATATCATATTTGGAATAAGGATAAAAAATATATGAATATATGAAAATAAATTAAAAAAAAATATATATATATATATTAATTAATACGAATTACTTTTTTACTAATTAAAGAGTTAAAAAAAATTGTTAACGTTAACGAGTGATAATTAATATTTAATGTTTAATAATAAATGAATTCAAATATGTTCTAATCTAACTAATAACTTGTGCATCTGTTTGAGAATTTAGGCACGAATTTGACGTGCCAATGAGATGAAATGGTCCATCATCTCTAGTTATAACAATTATTAATGACGAGCAATATGACAACGTGGTTAAATAATAAATAATAAGACCAAAAAGCCATTAATGAATGGTTCGCCATGGATGACAACCTTCGAATAATGACTTTTAGTCGATAGTTGCTCTCTTGAGCCACATTTTGTGGGAGCCTCTTCGGCATGTAGCCTCTTCTTGCTTCGTATCCTAACCACTGCTTTTTAAGGGCATTCCCTAAGCACAACTCATAAAAAAATTAAAATAAAACTTTATATATGTGTATGTAAATATATATAAAAACACACATACACACACATTTCATGAGAACTATTCTAGCCTGTGGACGATCAATGGACCGAAAGAATCCACCAATCGTGCGCATTCACACAGGCACATTTACTCGAATGCATCAGCAGATATTTGATGAATCTAATCGATGAACCTATTACTAACCCTTCGTAATAAAATCATTATAATATATCGGAGAAAACAAGAAAATCTATGATACGCCTTATGGTCTCATTCTTTTACATATTTGACCACTTTTATTACGTATCATTACTACTTTTACTTTATCATACATATATGATAAATTATATGTTGTAAAACTCGCGAGAAAGTCGAAGGGTTAATGTCATATACTTAATACTAAGTATCTTAAACACGTTGAAAATTTATTGCTAATTTATTGGAAATAAATTTTGTAACAAACGCAAAGACTTTATAAAACTTCATGATACTAATATATCTCGCAATGCAAAGCGTCAGCAAAATATGGAGAGAAAAGAAAAACGAGCATGCTGATAAATTCGTAAATATGCTAAAACTTTGCATAATAACCGGAGACGAAACTTTCCACTCCTGAGTGGAAATTGCAACCTGCGTCATTCCCGGTCCTACCTGCTTAAAATTAAACATACATTCGCACAGAAAAAGTATGCTATCTGCCTGCCTAAAACCTATATTTAAAAAATAGCAAAGCATTCGTTCCAACACACACACTCCACGATTCTCTCACATGCCACCAGGGTGCAAAGGCCTACACTAGAGAGTATGCCCCGAGGCATCTCCGACACCCTAGCTCAAACGCGTATGATTCTTAACTAATTAGGGATACGTACCAATTGCTGTAATTGACTATCAAGGCTAATGATTATTGCGTTAATAACTAAGGCAAAGATACTAGTATATATTAGTGTATATACATACTAATGGTATACGAGTATTTGAAAATTTTCACAAAAATATGATAAATCTATTATGCAAAACGATATTAATAATTATATATTATAATGTAGGATATGTAGGATATAATGTAGATATTCTATTCGTTTAAAAGTTATCGCGTAATAACGATATACAATCCACCGCCTAACACGCACACACATAGGTGAAATGTAAATCGTGCGCAATCACTAACGCAATGATAGTCATCAATAAGGGGAGAACTTAAAACTAAAACCATACTCAACTGTTTCTCACCCATACGAGTAACACCTGGGTATACGCATAAATGAGAACGCAGAAAGCATGGGGGAGGAAAAACGGGAATTAGTTTATTAGAAGCTGAAAATCCTCATCTAAAAATTGATTAATTTATCATTTGCTTTCTACGGGCTATGACTCTACAAGTCTCTTTATTTTTTTAACAATGACTCTACTCGACTTTTTTCTTTCCAAAATAATGACTATACTGAGACTTTTCTTTTATCAAAAAAAATTCATTAAATATTTGATTAATATTTTATACAATAATAATTAAAAATTCTCGGACGACTCCTTTCAACGAGTGGCTATTCTAATTATAAGACAAGATCATGACTTTATCACTTGTTTTCAAGAATCTATCCGTCGCGTTTATTTTCTTGTTCATTTGATTCGATCTAAATATATCGTAGTAAATCGCGATTGAATGGACTAAATATGAAGCAATGCATATAACGTAAACCACATCACATGCTTTTTCAATGAAATCGGATAAATGAATGCCCGATTTCACAATTAATATCGCGTGCAATGTCGAACGAAACAATTGCTAATTGATTGCATTGTTAATTAAAAAACGACTCGTGATAAAACAAAAAAACCCTATCCTGTCCTAATAAAAATAAGTATGCACAATAGAGAAACAATAATGAAACATATACATAATTAAAAATGAACCACTCGCGAGTAAATCCAAAAGAGGAATTACTCACGGTCATACTCGTCAATAATACATTACAAAAAATTACAACCAATAACTCGTGCCGATTCGGACCTTTCATCCTCGACATGATTGAGCATTGGAGGGACCTTAAATTTGTTCACTCACTACTTAAGAAGTTCTGTGATGGCTCCAAAACACTCGTTCACCTTGTAGCTGGAAATTGAGGGAAGTTGATCCACATGAAGTTGAAAACGAGCCACGTTGATCCATAGTAGGTCAACGTTTTTGTAGATTGATAAAACAGGATCATAACGATGATCTGAAAAAGAATCGAAAAAGAATTTTTATTAAATTTATTGTAATCAACAAAATTATATAATATAAATTATTAACTGAATGACATTTATCAATTTATACTTACCAATATTTTTCTTTTGAAGGAGTGTCATTTATCATTTATCTTCGATGATGCACTGACTTTAATGCGCGAACGGTCTGTGCGACTGTTTTAAAATAAACTTACAACTTTAGACGAACAAATTCTAACACTCAAATAGCTTTTAAAATCGCGAAATTGGATGAATTATAACGAACAAACAATGCTTCTAATTCGCGATT